TATACTGTAAAGTGAATTGACTGTATACTTTGTTGGGGAAATGCAGCAGCCAATTGCGCACAGCAGTGTCACAAACAGTCGTGGATTGTAGTGACCAAATTATTATTATTATTTATTACCCCTGGAAAAGCAATCTGGCATTCGACTAACAAACCGGTTCCTACTTACCGCTCGGTAAACAGAGGCATGTGGAGTAAAGAAACTTGCCCTACATTTTGCCCTGCCGGGAATCAAACCCAGGTCTCTCGCTTGCTCAAGCCTGCTCTAACTGAGCTACAGGACCCAACGTGTAAAGATGTATCAGGTCACAGTGAGGGATGTGACGATTATCAGTGGTGTCACATCACACACCACATTTTATTGCATGTCCGCATGTTCATTAAGTCTGGAGGACAAAACATGTTATCACTGACATGCTAGTAACATGCTTCAATTTTCACTGACCTACTAACAACATGTGTCAGCCAACAGAAAAATATTGCACTGGGGTTTTTGTGGACAAGTCATAGATTTTCAGAGCTAATGCCTGAGCAGTAAATCAATGTTAGAAAATGATGTTTAGTTCACATCTAAATTTTTGTATAAATACACTGGGAGGGAATTATACTGATTATGTCAGATCTCTTGGGGTGTCACAATTGTCTGAAGTTGCTAAATTCTTAGATACTGTATTTCAGATGTGCTGATAACAAAATTGGGGAAATGAGATGTCATTATTGAGTTTAATTCTGTGAGGAGACTGAACTTTAATAATAATTTGACAATGCCTTTCACATTGGTACGACATCTCAAAGTGTTTCACAGGATTTACTGTAAAGTGTAGTGACTGTGAATTTGTAAGCGAACATGGCAGCCTATAATTGAATAGATACTTTAATACAATACAAATTTATATTTATATAATGCCTTTCACAAATAAAATGGAACCATCTGGGTTAATGACTGTGGGGTGGAGAAAAAAACCCAGTTCATAACAGATTTGTTTTCATCCTATATCCTAAAAGAAATTAAGAAAATATATTGGGAGAGGAAAACAACCGGATGATCTATGTGTCATATTTCTCAATGTAACATCATATATAAGTGATATATTTCAGCCAGTATTAGCTGATACCCTAATCCATGCATTCATTACGTCCAGGCTTGACTGCCAACTTGCCAACTACCCAATTCTTCCCTATACAAGCTGCAGACTATCCCGAACTTTGCAGCCTCTGTCATTTTCTGCCTTAGGCTCAAGGAGTCTATCACCACCATCCTCATCCAGCTCCATTGGTTTCCCATCTCCCAGCAGATCAAATTTGAGATCCTCGTCTTCACCTTTAAATCCCTACATGGTTATGTGTTACCTTACCTTTGCTCAGTGAGAACCAGCCTTCTCTATTCCCCTGCCCTACCCACCCACCCTCAGCAGTTGGGATTTCAGTTTTTCTGCCTATATTCTCTGGAACTCCATCTTGGAGTCCCTCCAACTCTCCCCTCTCTCATTTCTTTCAAGGTCCGTCTCAAGTCCTTCCTCTTTGATTGCACCTTCGGTCATCTTCTCCTTCCCCACCCTCAGCCCCCGCCTCTCTCAGCTTGCATCCCCAGCTCAGGTGCCAAGCTAGGACTATTATGACCTTGGGACATCCTCCCAATGTGAAAGGCACAATATAAATGTAAATTTGGTGTATCACTGTTGTGTCCTGTATTTGTAACCAATTGCAAAAAGTTTGTCAAATATTTCTGCAAAGACCCTGTTGTTTTAAATTAGTTCCTCTACATCAGTTTTGTCTAATAGAAATTACTGACTAGCCAGAGATTTGGCTACGGCAACATGGTTTTAGGCACGTACACTAATTTTAGAAGAAAACGCCTTAAATACAGTCACACAATACAGGTAAATGCACATCACATGTATGTTAACATGTATATTGACTTTAAGAACATCTACTTAACTAACATCTATCACCATTCAGTGTGAAATTTTCCAGTCTTTCTCTTTCACAAAACTTTGTAATATATATAGGGACACATAACAGGAGTAGGCTATTCAGCCCATCGAGCCTGTTCTACCATTCTATTACATGGCTGATCTGTACCTCAATGCAAAATAATTTTTCTTATGTGAGACCCGCCAGACCCTCCCCTGCTCTCCATCCAACACAGTTGCCCTTTGCCAAGACGTGCCCAGTTGGAGCAGCACCTTGGGGCATCCTCCTGATGTGAAAAGTGCAAAACAAACATAATTTGTTGTTGCCTGTTATTAGCTGTGTTTCTTCTTTTGGCCTGGAGTGGTTATTCCGATTGGTCGCGCTGACCACCATTGACAGCTGCCCTCTCCATACAATATAATCCTACTCCCTCCCTCCGCTCAGCGGGCTCTGGCCTGCTTCACACCCCACATCTCGCCTGCCCCATTGGCGGGTGGGCCTTCTGTTACTCTGCCCCCACCCTCTGAAACTCCATCCCGCAGTCCCTTCGCCTCGCCCCCTCCCTTGCCACCTTGAAGACCCATCTCAAGACCCTCCTCTTCGACCGTGCTTTCGATCTCCCTGCTTCCCCCCCTGCCCTCCGCCACCCCGACCCTCAGCTCGGGTCCGTAACTCTGTCTGTTCAGCGCCTTGGGACGTCCTCCCAACGTGAAAGGCGCCATACAAATGTAATTTTGCTGTTGTATTGCTGGAGTTTCCATGGTACTGAAATCTGGCATTTTCCTTCATGTAACACACCATTTTAGCAGATAACCAATCAGCAGTAACCAAGGAAATAAACCACACAGAACGATCAAAACACACTTGCACACCCTGCTTTTCATCTTACTGTTTTATCAACAAATGCATAAAAATGTCAAAGTACACATGCATACACTGTTCTGCCCAATTTACTTTGTTGTTTGCTTTGGGCATCTGTTTGTGAGTCAACAAACCTCACTCATTGGAAATGACAAATTACTGATTATGGTTTGATGCATGTTTCTTTTACCTAACACAGTGGCAGCCAGCTGTTTAAAATCCAGCACCTTGGGACGTCCTGCCGATGTGAAAGGCACGACACAAATGTAATTTTGTTGTTGTTGTTTGCAAACCAATCGCACTCATGGTTAGTCACTACGCATCACAGTGAAATCCCTTGAGGCCATTTGAAATATTTAAGCGATGTGATAAGGAGCCATATGAAATGCAAAGATTATTTATAAGGAACTCCTAATAATTTTCTTCATGCACTGCTGACATTTCCAACAAAAACCACACAACCCCCTCCCCCGGTTGTCTAACCATGTAAGCTGACCCAACATTTTTGGTGGATTATTTTTCTGGGGGTAATAATTTCTTTAAAAAATTAAAATTGGTCACTTCAATCCACGACTGTTTGTGGGACACTGCTGTGCACAATTGGCGGGTTTTGCCCATAAAATATAGACAATTCACTTTACAGTATATTCTGTGAAGCGCTTCGAGACGTCTCAACGACGTGATAAGGCGCTATATCAAATCCAAGGATTATAATAATAATCCTTGCGTTTGATATAGCACTTTTCACGTCTTCTAGACGTCTCAAAGCGCTGCACAGAATAGACTGTAAAGTGAATTGACTGTATATTTGTGGGCGAACGCGGCAGCCAATTGTGCGCAGCAGTGTCCCAAAACAGTCGTAGATTGAAAATGACCAATTTATTATTGTTTTGCTTTTTGGAGGATTATTATTAGGCTCTGTGTGGAGTAAGGAAACTTGCCCAAGGTTTCGCCCTGCCTGGAATTGAACCCAGGTGTCTCGCTTGCGAGGCGAGTGCTCTAACCACTGAGCTACAGGACAGGAATCCAGGACTGTTCAGAATAAAAGATCAATATTATTATTGATGTATAACTAACATTGAGGTAACCGTGAACCTATTAACCCCATCCTCGCCCGACTCCATTGGCTTCCCATCAAACTGCATCACACAGGATACAGTTTAAGAACCTGGTCCTCACCTTCAATGCCCTCCAGTGGAGTCCTGTAGCTCAGTAAGTTTCCTTACTCCACACAGAGCCTAATAATAATCCCTCCTAAACCAAAAACAATAATAAATTGGTCATTTTCAATCTACGACTGTTTGTGGGACACTGCTGTGCGCAATTGGCTGCCGCGTTCGCCTACAAATATACAGTCAATTCACTTTACAGTGTGTTCTGTGAAGCGCTTTGGGATGTCCTCCCGACATGAAAAGCGCTATATCAAATGCAAGGATTATTATTATTATTATTATGGACTTGCTCCCCCCCTACCTCTCCAACCTCCCAACCCCCTGCCATCGTGCTCGCTCCCTCCGCCCAGCGGGCTCCGGGCCGCTTCAGGTCTCGCCTGCCCCACTATTGGCGGGTGGGGCTTCCGCCACTCCGCCCCCACCCTCTGGAACTCCATCCCGCAGTCCCTCCGTCTCGTCCCCTCCCTCGATGCCTTCAAGACCCACCTAAAGACCCTCCTCTTCGACCGTGCTTTCGATCTCCCTGCCCTGCCCTCCCCCACCCCGACCCCCGGCTCGGGTCCGAAACTCTGTCTGTGCAGCGCCTCGGGACGTCCTCCCGACATGAAAGTCGCTTTGCATGTGATGTTGTTGTTGTTGTTGTTGAGGTGACACTGCACACAGCTGCTGCCCCGCCCCGCCCGGGAGGCCCCGCCCCGCCCGAGAGGCCCCGCCCCCGAGAGACCCCGCCCCCATGGAGGCCCCGCCCACTGGCACGGCATTCGGCAGCATTGTGACGAGCGACGTAGCACGTTGGCACTGGCCGCGCGCAGGCGCTATGCGGCTCGCCCATGCCCGCTCTCGCGATGTTTGGCGCTCGCAGGCATGGTGTCCGGGAACTGAGAGCGGCGGCTGGAGCACAGTCAGCGAACGCGGCCCGAGCCCGGCACAGCCCCGGCCCGACATAGCACAGCCCCGGCCCCCAGCCCGGCACAGCACAGCCCCCGGCCCGGCACAGCCCGATCCCCGGCCCGGCACGGCACAGCCCGAGCCCCGGCACAGCCCCGGCCCGAGCCCGGCACAGCACAGGGGCGATGAGTCAGCGGCACCTTCACACACACGGGCAGGTAATGGTCAGGACAAACCCGGCCCCGGGTATTCCAGCAGCTCAGCTCCGCGAGGCTCAACTGCCATTGGTTTAAATGAGAGAACGTCAGAGCACGAGAGACAGAATGAGAAAGACACAGAGAGAGTGAATGAGAGAGAGACACAGAGAGAGAGTGAATGAGAGAGAGACACAGAGAGAGAGTGAATGAGAGAGAGACACAGAGAGAGAGTGAATGAGAGAGAGACACAGAGAGAGAGTGAATGAGAGAGAGACACAGAGAGAGAGTGAATGAGAGAGAGACACAGAGAGAGAGTGAATGAGAGAGAGACACAGAGAGAGAGTGAATGAGAGAGAGACACAGAGAGAGAGTGAATGAGAGAGAGACACAGAGAGAGAGTGAATGAGAGAGAGACACAGAGAGAGAGTGAATGAGAGAGAGACACAGAGAGAGAGTGAATGAGAGAGAGACACAGAGAGAGAGTGAATGAGAGAGAGACACAGAGAGAGAGAGAATGAGAGAGAGACACAGAGAGAGAGAGAATGAGAGAGAGACAGAGAGAGAGAGAATGAGAGAGAGACACAGAGAGAGAGTGAATGAGAGAGAGTGAGAGAGAGTGAATGAGAAAGAGAGAGAGAGAGAATGAGAGAAACACAGAGAGAGAGAGTGAATGAGAAAGAGACACAGAGAGAGTGAATGAGAAAGAGACACAGAGAGAGAGTGAATGAGAAAGCGACAGAGAGAGTGAATGAGAAAGAGACAGAGAGAGTCACAGAGAGAGAGTGAATGAGAAAGAGACACAGAGAGAGAGAGAGTGAATAAGAAAGAGACAGAGAGAGAGTGAATGAGAGAGAGCGAGAGAGAGTGAATGAGAAAGAGAGAGAGAGAGAATGAGAGAAACACAGAGAGAGAGAGTGAATGAGAAAGAGACACAGAGAGAGTGAATGAGAAAGAGACACAGAGAGAGAGTGAATGAGAAAGCGACAGAGGGAGTGAATGAGAGAGAGTCAGAGAGAGAGAGTGAATGAGAGAGAGTCAGAGAGAGAGAGTGAATGAGAGAGAGTCAGAGAGAGAGAGTGAATGAGAGAGAGTCACAGAGAGAGAGTGAATGAGAGAGAGTCACAGAGAGAGAGTGAATGAGAGAGAGTCACAGAGAGAGAGAGACACAGAGAGAGAGTGAATGAGAGAGAGACACAGAGAGAGAGTGAATGAGAGAAAGTCACAGAGAGAGAGTGAATGAGAGAGAGTCACAGAGAGAGAGTGAATGAGAGAGAGTCACAGAGAGAGAGTGAATGAGAAAGAGACACAGAGAGAGAGAGTGAATGAGAGAGACAGACAGAGTGAGAAAGAGAGACAGAGAGAGTGAGAAAGAGAGAGTGAGAAAGAGAGACAGAGTGAGAAAGAGAGACAGAGAGAGAGTGAGAAAATGGGAAAGAGACAAACAGACAAACGGAGAGAGAGAATGGGAAAGAGAGACAGAATGAAAAAGAGAGAGAATGATAGAGACACAGAGAATGAGAAAGGAGTGACGGTGACACGATGCAGGGTTTGTGATTGAGCCGAGTTTAAGGGAAAATGCACTGATTCAGGAATGTACATTGTCACATGGCTGCAGTTTGACTGAAATAGCTCATTGATAATCAGCCTATGAGATGGGTCTTTGGCCGACTGATAGTCTGCAGTGTTTGCTGAATGTATTAGTTGGTACCGAATACTGTATTTGTGGCACCAGCTCATTACTCAGCACATAGATTGAAAAACACTTCTATATACTATATTCTATATAATATATATATATTCGATATACAACTGTTTGTGGGACACTGTTGTGTGCAATTGGCTGCCGCATTTCACCCACAAAATATAGTCAATTTACTTTCCAGTAGATTCTGTGAAGCGCTTTGAGACGTCTTGAAGACGTAATAAGGTGCTTTATCAAATGCAAGGATTATATTATTATATTTCTGTTTGCTTTTTTAAATGATTGTATATTCCAATCCCAGTGACATAGTACAAAACAACAGTTTTCTGTGGGCTATATGCTACAGGACTCGATGCAATTGATTAATGCCATAAATGCAAATGATGGCATAAATAATCCAGAAATATTCAATCAAGAAAATTTATTTTGTTGACCGAGCATAAAGGTTGGCCACCATTGCTCTAGGGTAAATCCTGTGAAGCGATTGAGATGTTAGATGATGTAAGAATCAAGTATGCTGGTGCATATATATTGGAGCCATGGTGTATTCCCAGGAAAGCTGTTGAGATTCCACATGTGTCAGATACAACGACAAATTGGAACTGGGTTTGATTCCCAGGTAGGGCGAAATGTCAGGTATCTCCTGAATTGAAAAGGATAATAATAATAATCCTTGCATTTGATATAGCGCCTTATCCTCCGTTCCTCTGGCTCCGGTCTGCTCCACATCCCCCGCCCTAACCGCCCTACCATCGGTGGTCGGGCTTTCAGCGTCTCAGCCCCGAGGCTCTGGAACTCCATCCCCCAGTGCCTTCGCCGCTTCCTCCCTTTCCTCCTTCAAGGCCGGTCTCAAGACCTTTCTCTTTGACCGTGCCTTCAGCTCCCCTCTCGACTCTCTACCCCCTCCTCGCTCCCTCCCTTCCCTCCCCTCACCCTGACCATGTCCCCCCCAAGGCTCGGGTCCTGACCCAACTGTCCAGCGCCTTGGGACGTCCTCCCGAAGTGAAAGGCGCTCTATAAATGAAATCTTGTTTTTGTTGTTATCACGTTTGCAAGACGTCTCAAACTGCTTCACAGAATATACTGTAAAGTGAATTTATTGTATATTTTGTGGGCGAATCCCAGCAGCTAATTGCGCACAGCAGTTCCATCTCATAAGCTGATTATCCACTACTCCACTGTACTGTAAATCCTGCGAGGGGTTTTGACATATGTCCTCCTCAGGTGAAAGGCTTGTAAGGATTATTCTAGATGGCGTAAAAATTCCGCCTTTCCATTTCTGATCTAAGGAAACATCTTTACTGTAGATTGGTGACTGTGTATTTTGTTAATACATCGTGGAGCCCTGTAGCTCAGTGGTTAGAGCACTCGCTTTGCAAGCGAGAGACCTGAGTTCAATTCCAGGCAGGTCAGGGCGAAACCTTGGGCAAATTTTCTTACTCCACACACAGCCTAATAATAATCCCTCCAAAACCAAACAATAATAAATTGGTCATTTTCAATCTACGACTGTTTGTGGGACATTGCTGTGCGCAATTGGCTGCCGCGTTCGCCCACAAATATACAGTCAATTCACTTTACAGTGTGTTCTGTGAAGCGCTTTGGGACGTCCTCCCGACGTGAAAAGCGCTATATCAAATGCAAGGATTATTATTATTATTATTATCAATGAGCTATTTCAGTCAAACTACAGCAATCTGACAATGTGCATTCCTGAATTAGTGGACCTTCCTTTAAACTTGGCTCAATTACAAACTCTGTATTAAGATTTTTTTGTTGGTCAGTTGGGTATTTTCCGAATTGAAAAGCAGTATATAAATGCAATTTGTTGTTGTATCTCATCCATGCGTTCATCAAATCCAGGCTTGGCTATGCCAACTCGCTGCTTGTCGGCCTTCCCAAATCTTCTCTCTACAAGCTGTAGATCATCCAGAACTCTGCAGCTCGTGTCCTCTCCCGCACTGGGCTCCGTCTATCACCGTACCCTTGCCTGGCTCCACTGGCTTCCCATCCACCAGAGGATAGAATTCAAAATCCTTGTCCTCGCCTTCGAGGCTCTCCACGGCCTTGCTCCTTCCTGCCATTGTGACCTGTTAACCCCATATCAACCTTTCGTTCCCTCCACTCAGCAGGCTGTGGCCTGCTCCACATCCTCCGCTCAGCCCAGCCCGGCCCACCATCAGCGGTCGAGCCTTCAGCCTCTCTGCCCCCACCCTTTGGAACTCCATCCCACATTCCCATTATCTCGCTCCCTCCCTTGCCTCCTTCAAGGCACGTCTCAAGACCCTCCTCTTCAACTGCGCCTTCAGCCCTGCCCTCCATCCTCCCTGAAGAGTATCCAATCCAGAAGTGGTCATTCTCTGCAGTGGTCGTCATTCCATTGCCTAGACTCATGCACATGTTTCTACTTCTTAATGGCCCTGTTTGGCACAGGTTGGTCACTACTGGCATAAAGTGTAGGGAATGTATTTTGTAAGGGAATGCGACAGGCTGTTTTGTGCAGAGCAATATCCCACAAATAGTTGTGAAGTGATTGACCAGGTTTGTCTAGGGGCTTGATGGCCAGCTCACTGGGAGAAATTCCCTTCTGTTTTCCAATATTGCCATGTACAGGCAGACTGGCCTTCGGTTTAATATGTCACCCGAAGGACGGCATCTCTTAAAATGCAGTGTACTTCCATACTGTTTATATTTACAAATGGTAACTTAGTGTTGTACTCTGAACTCGGTAGCTAACTTGGCTCCTTGAGCTTTTCATCCCCATTTTCGCTCGGCTCCATTGGCTGCCCATTCCCTAGCAGGTTGAGTTCAAGATCCTTATTCTCACGTTTAAATTCCTCCAGAGCCATGTCCCACCTTATCTTTGTGACTTCCTCCAACCACACTATCCCAGCTGCTCACTTCACTCAGCGAACACTGCTTGTTTCATGGCCCCACCTCATACGCCCTCCAATGACAGACAGGCTTTCAAGTACTCTGCACCCATTCTCTAGAACTCCGTTCCAAGCCTCTCTGAATTGCTCCTTCTCTCCCCTCTTTCAAGGCACTTATCAAAAGGTACCTCTTTGACCGTGCTTTAGTTCCTTTCCGTTTCTCCATCCCTCTGGGCTCCAACCCCCAGCTTGAGTACCCCCTGTTGCTATACCCTCCCCTTCCCCCCCCCCCCCAAAGTAAGAGGTGATATATAAATGTAAATTGCATTTATATCAGAAATCCATTCTATGACATCTATAATAAGTTTACATTTAATTATTTTCAAAGGAAGAACTGTCTCCTAAAGCCAAGTGAAGATGTTTCTTGCTCTGGCACATAAACCCTGGTACACGTTGTGCAAGTTCTACCTGCAACATGCTGTTGGAGTGAATCGAGTCCAATATGGTGAGTGTAACACAAACTTTTCCAAACTGCTGGAAAATTTGTCCTAAAGGGGTCAGTAGTTTTTGTCCAATTACTGGATAGGTTGATCAGTAGAGTGTATTAAATTCTTAAAAGGCACAGTAAGTTCTATATTTAACAGGTATTTTACCCATCTGTTTGTATACAATTTGTGAATTATGATAGCAATATATTGGTGATTTATAATCATATTTGTAAAGCTTAATATTTTGCTGTTTACAAAATATTTGGAAGCCCTTTCTATAGAAAGTTAAAACTTGTTTTGCAGATTAAGAAGTCATAATTGTTCAAATGGGTTCGAAAATATCTCCTTGAAGTCAAACAACAATAACAAAATTACATTTGTAAAATGCCTTTCATGTCGGGAAATTAAAGATATTAAGTTCATATTTATAGAAAGTATGTATATGCTTCATCATTCTACCTTGATGTGCTGTAGTGTACTAGTTTGAGCAATTGCCCCGCAAACGAGAGGATCCAGGTTCGATTCCTGGGTAGGGCGATACCTTAGGCAGGTTTCCTTACTCATTCTACCTTGATTCATCACCTATATCAAATGCAAGAATTATTATTTTTATTATTACCTTACAAAGTTTATACAGCTATAGCCTTGTTAAGTGGAAAATGATCCTTGGTGAGTTATACATTTCTTTATGTGATGATCTTTTCATTTCTATTTTTAGTGTACCAGGGCCCTGTGACCAGCAGAAACCTCTGGCGCAGGATACCATCTAGTCTACTTCCTATCAGCACTGGTGCCCAACTACGTTTATATTCCTCAGACGACCAAAAGGATGGCACTTCAAAAGGAGCTGTGGAAGATAACATCAATACCTCAGCATCCACATCGGAGACCTCTACTGCTCAACAAAGCCCCAAAAAACCTAGTAAGATCACATTTTTTTCCATTGGAAATTGCTACTGACCTCTTTAGAAGGTCAACCATCTTTTTTTTCTCTCTTATTGGCTCTCACACCTTGATATTTAATTGAATACACTAGTCTATTTTAATATTTTTATTGAAAAAATTCACCTGGCTCACACTGTCACACTAGTGCATCTGATTTTGTTGCAAATCTACAATTGTATTAAAATATGAAATTTAAAGTATAGAAACAAGGCCAGTTACTTCTGATTCAGGCATCTAGCTAATAGTTTTCTGAAATTGCAGTGTGACTGAACCTAATCACATTTGTTTAACCTTTCTCCTTCCCAGTTTCCTGAACTAGACCATTCTTAATGTTTGTACCTAAACAACAACAACTTGCATTTACATAGCGCCCTTCATGCGGGACAGGGGCTCAGAGTGCTTCAGCGTTGTGTTGGCATGCTGGAATATTTGGCAAATGGAACAATCCAATTCTCACTTGAATCCAAAAAAAACTCATGGTTTTCGACTTAACATTATTGTCTTAAAATTTAGGATTGTGTACAGTTTTGAAACTGTTTAAATTTAGTTTCAGTTTGCAAGCTGATTGTTGCAGAAGACTGACTTCCAAATTCAGACTGAATTTAAGAATTTTCTAAAATTTTGCATGATCTTAATCCTTGCATTTGATATAGCGCCTTATCACGTTGTCAAGATGCCTCAAAGCGCTTACATTTTAAGGCTGAAACCATGGGGCGTTTGGGGCCTCTGATGTCTACATTTGCACTTACCAGCAGAGGTCACCAACAACAATAAGGAGTGGAAACCTGAATGATAATTCCCTCCTTTCCACACCAAGGGATACATGCATGAGGGCAACTCATTGCGCTGGCTGTGATCACGTAAACTCAACACAATTAAACCCAGGATTTTCGTGGTTTATAAACTCAGTACCATGTTATGTGATGCACTTACCAAGAATCATCAAGGAGTTCAAATTTGAAATGTTGATTATTAATGCTTCATTTTTATCGTAGCTGAATTGAGATCAATTGTTATGACAGCCAAATAAATTAATTCAAGAGAGCTAACTATTCACTTCAGTACCTTCAGAGTCTTGACTGTATTCAATTCCTTAGATTTCCTAAAATAGAGTCTGCAATAAACGTCTAATTTCTATTTATAGTTATATAGACATCATTATATTTATATTAACCGTTGTATTCTGGTTATAGTTCTATAGATTTGACTCTTTTCAAATAATTGTTTGTATTTTCTGAGTATCAATTGACATTACTTGTTTCCACTTACACAGAATTGAGTGGTTCTGTTCAACCTACTGTGGAGCAAATTCAAGTAAAAGGTAACTATTTTTAGTTTTGTTAGTTTGTCAAACTGTAGTTGCAGGTTCCTACCTAGCACAGTTGCCGCAATTGAACGACTACAATGGTGATTTAAGAGCATAGAATTAGTGTGTGTATGCTTGTTTTTTTTCATTTGTTTAACATTGAACCCATCAAACCTATTCTGCCAGTTTATTAGGTCATGACCTGTGCCAATAGAAATGTGCAGAAATATTTGCCAAAACTTGCGAGGAATTTAAATATTTTGTAGGGGAATTTGGGGAATTTGACAAATTTTGATTAGTGCTATTGAGGTACATTTTACTACCATCCTACATTTTTTCCCTTTATTGATAAAAACTACAACAACAACACCAAGATTACATTTGTATAGCGCTTCTTAGTTGGGAGGATGTCCCAAGGCGCTGGACAGTGTACAGCATTTCAACAACAATAACAACTTGGATTTATATAGCGTCCTCCACGCCGGACGGCGTCTCAGAGCACTTTACAGTTTTGGATCCCGGGACCGAGCCAGGGGGAGGGGGAGGAAGGTGACCAAAGGCGCGGTTGAAAAGAAAGGTCTTCAGCAGAGACCTGAAAATGGGAAGGGAGGGAGCGAGATTAAGGGAGTGAGGAAGGGAATTCCAGCGCCTCGGGGCATAGTGGCTGAAGGCACGGCCGCTGAGAATGGAGCGGAGGACTCGGGGGACAAGGAGGAGGCCAGACCCGGAGGAACGAAGGCAAAGGGTGCTGTTTTGAGGAGAGAGGAGGTCAGAGAGGTAGGGGGGTGCAGAGGAATGCAGGACTTGAATACGAAGGTGAGGATCTTGAAGTCGATCCTCTCTGGGATAGGCAGCCAGTGCAGTCTGGCAAGGACTGGGGTGATCGGGGAGCGGAGTTTGGTGCGGGTGAGAATGCGGGCGGCCGAGTTCTGAACGATTTGGATTTTATGGATGGTAGTGGATGGGAGACCGGCGAGGAGTGTGTTAGAATAGTCCAGCCGAGAGGTGACAAAAGCATGGACCAGAGTTTCAGCGGCTTTTGGCGAGAGGTATTGGCGGATACGGGCGATGCGACAGAGGTGGAAAAAGGCGTTGTTGGTAAGGGACCGGATGTGGGGGAGGAAGAATAATTGGGGGTCGAACCTGACGTCTAGGTTGCGTACGGGTTCGGAGAGTTTTAAGGGAAGGTCGGGTAGGTAGAGGAGGTGAGAACCATGAGATTTTAGACATTGACGAGAGCCGAAGTGTATGGCTTCCATCTTGTCAATGTTCAGCTGAAGGAAGTTTGCGCTCATCCAGACCCTGAGGTCTGACAGGCAGTCTGACAGAACATCAGGGGACTCGGGGTCGCAAAGAGAGGTGGAAAAGTAGAATTGTGTGTCATCTGCATATATGTGGAAATAAATTTACCCCATGTCTGCGGATGACATCCCCAAAAGGGAGCATATAGATCAGAAAGAGAAGGGGGCCAAGGATGGAACCTTGGGCTACCCCGCAGGTAACCAGGTGAGAGCGGGAGGAAAAGCCGTGTGTCCAGATGTACTGCTGGCGGTTTGTGAGGTAGGATTCGAATCAGGCGAGTGCGGTCCCATCGAGGTGGATGATGGAGGAAACGCAGTGGAGAAGAATGGCGTGATCGACTGTGTCGAACACGGCAGAGAGGTCCAGGAGGACAAGGAGGCAGAGGGAGCCCTGGTCACAGATGGACAGGATGTCGTTTGTGACTTTCACAAGCGCAGTCTCTGTACTGCGGGCAGGGCGGAAACCGGTCTGGAGGGGTTTGAAGAGGGAGTGGGAGGAGAGGTGTGCGTGGAGTTGGTTGGCCACAACCCGTTATAGAGCTTTTGAGAGGAAGTGCAGGTTAGAAGTGGGGCGGTAATGACTGGGGTTTGAGGGATCTAGGGAGGGTTTTTTTAGGAAGGGGGTGATGAGAGCAGTTTTGAGGGGGGCAGGGACTGATGTGGAGGAGAGGGACTGGTTGATGATGTCAGCCAGTAGTGGGCATAGGAGGGGGAGCTGGGTGACCAGTGTGTGTTTCATGGAGGTGATGGGTGAGAGGGAGGAGGGAGAGATGGTGAGGAAAGAGTGTAGAAAGGGGGTGGTGGTAGGAGCAGATGATGAGGAGGGTGAGGGGGACAGAGAGGGCGTGGTGGTGGGTGACAAGGGGCAGGTGGATGAGGCTGCCTGCGGATTTTAAGTATTTTAGCAGAAAAGAAGTCCATGACCTCTTCGCACTTGGCATTTGATGTGAAGATTAAGGAGGCCTGAGGGGGGGCACGGAGGAGGTAGTGGGTGGTGGAAAAAAGGATTTGGGGATTGTTTTTGGCCTCCAAGATGATGTTGGAGTAAAAGGCCGTCTTTGCGCGTGTCAAAGAACGGCGGTAGCTGTGGAGATGCTCGGGCCACAGTTGGCGGTGACCTGTCAGGCCAGTTTTCCGCCATCTGCGCTCGAGCAGACGGGTTTGGGTTTTTTGGCGGCGGAGATGGTTGTTGTACCAGAGGGATCGGGTGGGTTTGGAGATGGTCCTGGATTTCAGGGGGACGAGGGAGTTGAAAGTGGAGTAGAGATGATCATGGAGCAGCTGGAGCGGCTGCTTCAGGATCTCTGCGGGTGGAAGGCCGGACGGATAGGATGTTTGATGATGAGAGGGCCTTATGAGGGTCTCGGGGTATCCTTTTCCAAGGGTGGTAGAGGATGGTTGAGGGCTTGGTGGAGGAGAGAGGGATGTGAGAGGAGAAGGAGATGAAAAAACGGTCCGAGATTGTCTTGTCTACTATGCTAAGGTCGGAAATGTCAAGACCGTGGGTGATGATGAGGTCAAGTGCATGACCATGGTTGTGGGTAGGTGAGTTTATATGTAGTGTAAGGTTAAGGGAGGAGAGGACGGCAGTGAAATCAGCAGAAGTGGTGCAGGGGGCGTTTAGGTGGAGGTTGAAATAGCCCATTATGAGCAGGCGCTCGGAGCAGAGGGACAAGGAAGAGAGGAGAATGGAGATGTCTGTGTGGAAGGAGCCGGGGGGCTTACGGGGGCGGTAAATGAGGATTTTCAAAGGGAGAGAGGGGTGGAAAAGTGTGAGGTACTCAAAAGAGGGGAAGCAGTCAGAGGAGTAGGGGGTGAGGCCAAGAGAGACTTTGGAGATGAGGGCCACCCCGTCGCCACGTTGGTTTGGATGGGGGTTGTGGTGGAAGGTGTAGCCTGGAGGGGAGGCTTTCACTAGTGGGAGAGGGTCATTGGGGTAGAGACAGGTTTCAGTGAGCCCAAGGATGTCAAGGTGCTCGTCCAGGATGAGGTCATGGATGGTGAGGGCTTTGTTTGAGAGGGAACGGACATTTTCAAAGGAAATGCGGGTGGGTTTGCTGGAGGTGGGGGAGGGAGGAGAGAGTGATGCGGAGAGGATTTTGGGGTGTACAGGAGAGATGGTTGTGGAGACTGAGAACATGTAAGGGAGGGGGAAGTTGGATTTGTCTTAAAGAGGCGGTTTGAGCGGAGGGAATGAATGTTTGGACACATGGGGTTGTTGCTCTGGGACAGCCAGTGCTGGGAACCACAATGGGCCCAGCGGAGGATGCCCAGGCTGGAGCAGAGGGAAGTGGTGATGGGGTCGAGAAGAGAGAGAAGGCGGGGAGGACGGTGTGAGAGAAGGACAGAGGGGGAGTAGCGGATAGGGGGGGGTGGGAGGAGAGACGTAGAGGGGCGTGGGAGGAGAGACGTAGAGGGGGAGGCTCGGGTCGGGGCGGCAGCCAAAATGTGCACGCAGAGACCGGGAGCGAGCGATCAGTACGACGGCATCAGCCCTCAGGCTTAGCCTCCCAAGTCATGGCTGGGATGGCAGCGCCAGGGGCCGGAACATTGTTGCTGTTGTTGTTGCTGGGTTTAAAACATTTATATTTTTTATTTTTCCTTATTTCGTTTTTATTAACTGTGACGTCACGCCGACGTCACTTTGTGAATCACTTACCACCCCCCCCCTCCCCCCCACTCTCCTACCTCCACTCCCAACTGAGCTGGGGTCAGGGCGGGAGAAGGGAAGACTAAACATGAAAACACATATTAGATTGTTGCAAAAGAAAATTATTTCTTCTTTAACAAAAGCTGGACGGCCCATTTGGGGTGGCGATGATATACCAGCGCAGGCCCGAGGGCCTGGAGATCCGCCAAAAAACAGACACTCAGGACCAGTGATCTGACTGCAGGGCTACAGGAACTCACCATCTCCTGCCTCTCAAGGCCCAGCACCACACAGAGACCCAGAGAGAGAGACACACGCACACTCAGACACACAGAGAGGGACACACACTCACAGACAGAGTTACTGATCCTAGAGGCATAAGGGAATCCATTCATTTTCTTGTATTGATTTTGATAAGTTTAAATTTTTTTGAAAAAATTAAATAGTTGAAGTGGTCATTCTCTGCAGTGATCCTCCTGACGTGAAAGGTGCTCTATAAATGTAATTTTGTGTTATTGTGGTCGTTATTCCATTGAAAGTTTTGGAACTGCATCAACCAGTGCCAGGTACCAAATGTTATTTACCATTGATTGGCACAGTCCACAATGTCAACACATGCTAGATCTAAGGCTATCTAAGGCTAAGTGCAGAAGAACCTAATTATCAGAGCTTACCAAGAAAGATTCTTTAGGTGTCCATCTTCTGAAGCTGCACAAGGTTTCATGTGGCATAATGTTTGAAGTTCCTGATCTGCACCTACCAGGACCAGCTGTATAGGCCCGAGGCAATCCTTCAACAACAGATTCATGTTGCATCCAAGCAAAGTGCATGGCAACAAGTGAATGCCCATCGATTATGGTACTGATCCCATGTGAGCCATGCCACTCGACACTGGCAGGACTCACTAGATCCATTATCACTGCCCAAGGTAGAAGGCATCAAAGTACTCTTCTTATCGATGCCATGCAAAGACTCACATCATTTTTAAACATGGGAGTTGACTGGTTTCATATCCTGTGGGACAAATCGTCTTGCTTCCAGAGAGGTTTCATAACTTTCATGCTCTGATATTCCCCTTCATGTGATGGCAAGAGCTAACTGTGTAATTCCAAATAAAATGATTTTCATGAGATATCAAATCAAACTTTCTCTCATTTGTTTCTAAACTAATCTCTGTTGAACCAGTTTATACAGATTGCTGGGGCTTCGGCTTTGAATATGAAGTGATAGTCTCAGGAAAGAATCAGAAGTAGAAATAAGACCAGATTTATCCAGTTGCTTCTTTTGAACATCTATGGGGGAAAGTTGTCTTGCGCCAAGTAATTCCTAGTTTTTCACAAGCTAATCTTTCCACTTGCTCTAACTATGGTGGAAAAAACAATAAAACTCCCATAAGTCTGATTTGTATAAATCGTATAATCGCCTGAATCATACATACCCCAAGTCCCATTCAAGCGTTTATATTCTGTACAAGTTTGACATAACTCATGCTTTGCAGAACTCACATTAAATGCATGGTCCCAACTGATACAACTTATATGAGGTTTACTGTATAGATTTTTACATTGTTCAGATACAATTTTTTTCACTTCAATGTTTTTCAGTTAAAGCTATTCTGAAGAAAAGAGATTATGGATCCAAATACACTCAAAACAACTTCATCACTGGTGTGCGAGCACTGAATGAATTCTGTCTAAAGCCCAGGTATTTAACAGTATTAGCAATAGTTAATGCAGTATTCATTTTTATTGATGCACTGATGATTTTGAATTAACATTAGCATATCTAGATAATCCAAAGATAGTGACAAGTTAATGATTTTTACTTGTAAATTCATGTCCTTAGGTTTCTTTGAATGATGGAAACATTTTAAAATTACAAGCTTAAGAACATGGTGAATGAAAGACCATTTATAAATCTTGTAATTGAAATGACTGATCTAATTAGTGAGAGTTGCAAATAAGCACTTTGTGATAAGAGTAAATTCAGAGGGAGCATGGCTGAGTCCATGTCTATTGTGGATTTTTTTTATTTTCCTCTTTCTGTCCTCCCCATCAATTTCCTCCCCACTCCTCCTCTGCAGTCCTTTGGGGAGTTGTTCCAGTAAATGCCTCCTTAGCAGAGTATAATTGATGTTTGGAAATGTTTAACAGACAAATGTTTCTAATCATTCTATGTATCACATGGTGAATTTCCAACATACTGCACCATTATGTGCCTTTAATAATTCTCAATAAATATTGATTTGATGTTTCTTTGCTTTGCCTAATCAAACATGAGATATCAAAAATAAAAAAATAAAAAATCTTGCTTCCAGCCCCCAGCTCGGGTGCAAACCCTTGACTGTGCAGCTCCTTGGGACGTCCTTCCAATGTGGAAGCTGTTATATACACGTAATTTGTTGTTGCCTACAGTGACTTGGAGCAATTGAGAAGGATTCGGCGACGAAGTCCACATGATGATACCGAGGCATTCACTGTATACCTCAGATCTGATGTAGAAACCAAGTGAGTAGAGATGAGTATCTTTTCATCTTGACAAACAATATTCAAACATTAATTGCTTAAACCTCCCCTGGCTCATTAGATAAAGGCAACACTAAATTTACTGCAAAGTTAAACAGATTCAAATCCTCATCTTTTCAGTGAACTGATCCCAGCCAGGGCAGCAATTGAAGTTTTACAATTGTCTTTAGTGCCATCTGAACTGCAGACAGATGCCAGTTTACTGTCTCATTAGAAAGATGGCACCTCTCACAATGCAGCCCTCCCCCAGCACTGCAATGGATTGTCTTAAACTATGAGCTCAAAGTCCTTACATAGGACTTGAATCTGCAATCTGTTTCAAGAGGCGAGAGTGCTACCAAGTGAACTAGCTGACACTTATTGCATCAAACATTAAGGAAAAGTTGGCAAGTGTCTTTCTAGCCTGTTCAGTTCAGTGCAATAGATTGTATGTTTGCAAGCAAGTGAAAACTGGTTATCCAAACATATTATTCCTTGTCAATAAAAATAAACATTATTAAGCAAACAACTAAATACCATAAGTACTGGGAAAAATGTCTGTTTGTTATCTTTAAGATGGATAAACATTTGATTAAAAAGTTGAATAGAAGAAGGGACCAGGGGAAGAGCAGTTAATTGTGCTTATAGTCATGAGCTGGCTTCAATTTTGACTAAAACAGTTTGAATGTTCTGATTATCGAGCTTTATAGCAAGCATTCTACTGACCACCACATTTCATCAAAAGCCATGTTTGTTGAAAGGTGAATTTTTGCTCCGCCACTGTCAAGTACTCTGGGACGCTACCCTGTGTGAGTGTGCTATATAAATGCAAGCTCTTGTTGTTGATTTCTAAAGGGACAACGTGACTGAAGCCCTCCTGATTGGCTCCCATCAGCGCCTCCACACCTTGGGCGCTGACAGCATCACCATCCAAGGACGCACACTCCACCTCACTAAGCAATCCGGAACCTTGGCGTCTTGTTTGACCCTCAATTATCCTTTCTACCCCACATCTATGCTCTACCTTTCCCAACCTCCACAACATTGCCCGGCTCCGCTACTGTCTCACACCGCAGGCCACTGAAACCCTCATACACACATTCATAACATTCAAGGCTTGACTATACAAACTCCCTGCTTGTCGGCCTCCTCAACACCTCTCTCCATAGGCTGCAGATCATCCAGAACTTTGCAGCCCGTGTCCTCTCCTGCACCAGGCTCCGTGACCCTATTATCCCCATCCTCGTCTGACTCCACTGGCTTCCCATCACACAGAGGATACAGTTCAAAATCCTGGTCCTCACCTTCAAAGCCTTCCATGGTCTTTCTCCCCCCTACCTCTGCAACCTCCTAACCCCTACCAACCTGCCTGCTCCATCCGCTCAGCGGGCTCCGGCCTACTTCACGTCCCCTGCCTCGTCCGCCCCACCATTGGCAGGCAGGCCTTCTGCCTCTCTGCCCCTACCCTCTAGAACTCCACCCCGCAGTCCCTCCACCTCACCCCCTTCCTTACCTCTTTGAAGACCCTTCTCTTCGACCGTGCTTTCGATCACCCTCCTTCCCCCGCCTTCCTGCCACTTCCCCAATCCCAAGCCCCAGCTCGGGTCCGAAACACTGACTGTCCAACGCCTTGGGACGTCCTCCCGACATGAAAGGCACTTTACAAATGTAATGTTGTTGTTATTTATGAAAATATTGGCATTGTAGCATTAAGTATATCTGTAGTTTTAAACCTTGTTAATCTTTATTTAAGGGCCCTTGAAGTACATGGTACCACAGAAGCTCTTACAAGGGCAAAGAAGCACCGTAAGGAGGCAGAAATTGCATATAAAGAAAGTACGTATGTGTAATAAATATTCTGTACTATTTAAAACATGGATTCTAAAATCTTTTCATAAGGGTCAGTCATTTGAATTTGGACTGGTTATTAATAATTTGATTGAGATGCATCGTTTGGTAATTCATGCTTGATATAGTGCCTTATCACGTCGTCAAGACATCTCAAAGTGCTTCACAATTTTACTGTGAAGTCCAATGACTGTATTTTATATGAAGTGCAGTGACTGCAAATGCGGTAGCCAATTTGGGGGGATTGTTAGTCAGGACACCAGGACACCTCCCTTCTCTTTTCGATTTGTGCCATTGGAAATTTAATATCCATCTGAATAGGCCAATAGGGCCTTGGTTTAATGTCTCATTTGAAAGATGGCATCTCCAATAATACAGCACACCCCCAGCACTGCATTGGAGTAAAGCTGCATGATTGGTGACAAGTTGCAGTACTTTTGACAGCCATTTGTTGATGAAAGTCCAATATGAATGTGGTTTCAGATTTCATTGTAGCTGATCTCACAAATCTGCTGGGTGGTTCATATTCTCTGTTTGGAGAATTTAGATTTTCTTTTTAAGTCTGGTTGGTGTATATAGCACTGCACTTGCTATATAACACGGTCACTTAAAGGACTGAGCGCAAAACAGATTCCCGACTGATGGTAATGTGAACGGTAAGTGGTTTTCTTCCTGATAGTGTAAATGCAGCATTACTGACAGTACAGATTGTGGTTGATCAGCAAACTTCACAACATGGTAGCTACATTGATTTTTTTTCCAGAAAGAGACAAAACTTCCTATTTGTAAAATACTTTCCTTTGTAATATGAAAGAAAATGTTAAAGTAAAAGCAACTATCTTATGTTTATTACTACAGTGTCAGTTTTAAGAAATAGCAACAAGCATATATTTTTGATATAAGTATAACATGTTTCTGATGATTTGTATCATACTAACTCTGTCCTCGGTCCCCTCCTCTTCACCCTCTACATGCTCCCCCTTGGTGACATCATCCGCAGACATGGGGTTAACTTCCATACGTATGCGGATGACACCCAACTCTACCTTTCCTCCTCTACCCTCAACTCCACGACCACCGATGTCCTGACAGCTGCCTGTCCGACATCGAGTCCTGGACGAGAGACAACTTTCTTCAGCTCAATGTGAGCAAAACTGAGGCCCTCCTGATTGGCTCACGTCAGCGCCTCCGCACCTCAGGCGCTGACAGCATCAGCATCCAAGGCTGCACTCTCCACCTCTCAAAGCCGTCAGGAACCTCGGGGTTCTGTTCGACCCTGAGCTGTCCTTTCTCCCTCATATCCGCGCCACAACTGGCACCGCCTTCCATCACCTCTGGAATGTCGCCAGACTACGGCACTACCTCACCCCTCACGCTGCTGAAACTCTGGTCCACGCCTTTATCACCTCAAGGCTGGACTATGGGAACTCTCTCCTCGCCGGCCTTCCCGGCACCTCCCTTCACAAGCTGCAGGTCATTCAGAACTCTGCAGCTCGTGTACTGTCCCGCACCAGGCTTCGGGACCACATCACTCCCACCCTCGCTCGCCTCCACTGGCTCCCCATCCCCCAGAGGATCGAATTCAAGATCCTCATCCTCACCTACAAGGCCATTCACGGCCTCGCTCCCTCCTACCTCTCCGACCTACTATCCCCCTACCTACCTGCCCGTACCCTCCGTTCCTCTGGCTCCGGTCTGCTCCACATCCCCCGCCCCAACCGCCCTACCATCGGTGGCCGGGCCTTCAGCCTCTCAGCCCCGAGGCTCTGGAACTCTATCCCCCAGTGCCTTCGCCGCTTCATCCCTTTCCTCCTTCAAGGCCGGTCTCAAGACCTTTCTCTTTGACTGTGCCTTCAGCTCCCCTCTCGACTCTCTACCCCCTCCTCGCTCCCTCCCTTCCCTCCCCTCACCCTGACCATTTCCCCCCTACTCGGGTCCTGACCCAACTGTACAGTGCCTTGGGACGTCCTCCCGACGTGAAAGGCGCTCAATGAATGGAATCTTGTTGTTGTTGTAGCTGGGTTATTTTCTGCCCACCAGCTACAAAACAAATTTTTCTCTTACCAAATGCAGTGTGTTTTTTTAACATAACATAGGAGTGATTTCAAGGTAGTAATCTTATCTCTGGGTTCAGATGACTGATAAAAACTGTTCAAATTTTCTTTGTGCTTCTGATACCACTGAACCCTTTGATAAGATTAGTACCTTGTGATCTCTATAGTACATCAATTAAAAAAAACATATAAATGTGCTCTGCTTCTGAAAAACCCACGACAGAATTGCTAGGCATGATGCTGCTTGTATTTTCGTCTATGTTATTACAGGTATCCACTTTATTATCTTATTTACATTGTTTGCATAGTGTTCTATAAATAATGGCAAGTGTCTGGGAGTTAAAGGTTTTTTTTGGTGTCTGACACATGCAGAAACCCATCACCATACTTAAAAGTATCCAAACCAAACTGAGATTTCCATGCATCTCACCTACACATGGAAATCCCAGGGATAGAGAGAGAGAGAGACATTCACACACACGCACTCAGAGACACAGAGAGAGACACATTCTCACAGAGAGAGACACACACACTCATAGACATAGAGACACACGTTGTCACACACACACACACACACAGACAGACACACACACACTTATAGACACATATTCTCAGAGAGAGAGCGCGAGAGAGAGACACTCATAAACACACATTGTCACACACAAAGAGAGAGACACACAGTCATAGACATAAGAGAGATACACATTCTCAGAGAGAGAGACACACATGTACATGTTCACACAGTGACACTCAGATACACTCACAAACATACATTCGGAGGATAGAGACATAGACACACTCACACAGAGACACTCACAAACAGACACACATACAGAGGAGACACACTCACATAGACACTCACAAACACACACGCACATACAGAGGAGAGAGAGACACACACACACTCAAACACATATAGAGAGACATACTCACACAGACACTCACAGACACATAGAGAGACACACGCTCAGACACTCACAAAGAGACACTCACAAACACATAGAGAGACGCACAGACACTCACCAAACACAGAGAGACACACAGACACTCGCAAACACATAGAGAGATGCACACAGACACTCACAATCACACTACTTCCCAGACAATCACAACAGTGGGGCAGCCATACTTTTCAATTGATCCTGCTGATGAGCCAGGCCGGCTGTGCTGTCATCAGCAGTGCCCTGGAATACTGCGGACCCGCCTGGCTCAGGAACCAGACCACCGAGACCGGCACAGAGGACTGGATCGATTCCGACATTCCATTGCCGGGCATGTCACCTTGGAGCCAGTTCAGCTACAAGGAGACCTGCTTACCTTTCCTCCCCCCCTGAGGACACTCACTTCAACTAGCAAGAGAGTGGGAGTTTACTTCCTGTTCACAAATTAATTCATTTTTGACCACGGTATTAGAAATGTGGAATTTTGTCTCGTGTAGATTACTGGAAGGCCTGTTTTTGACTAATGTGTACACTTTTGTGCAATCTACCTACAACAGGTCATTATAACATTATAGAGTTTCAAACTCTTAGATTATGAGGAGAGATTTCCAAAGCCAAACTTTTATTAATATAAAAAATGATTGAGAATAGATATAAATGTAGTCAGACTATTTAATGTAGACTGCGAAGATAAAACTACAGACCGTATGTTTACAATTAAAAGGACTCGAGTGGGACTGGAAATCAGATTTTATTTTCCCTGGAGTGGCAGATATATCGGAGTCCTATAGCTCAGTGGTTAGAGCACTCGCTTTGCAAGCGAGAGACCTGAGTTCAATTCCAGGCAGAGGGCGAAACCTTGGGCAAGTTTCCTTACTCCATACGCCTAATAATAATCCCTTCAAAAACCAAAAACAATAATTAATTGGTCATTTTCAATCTACGACTGTTTGTGGGACATTGCTGTGCGCAATTGGCTGCCGCGTTCGCCCACAAATATACAGTCAATTCACTTTACAGTGTGTTCTGTGAAGAGCTTTGGGACGTCCTCCCGACGTGAAAAGTGCTATATCAAATGCAAGGATTATTATTATTATTGAAGATTCACAACAAAAGCAGTTGCTGCAGACTCAATTAACTCCTGTAAAAATAAGTGGTTTACTACTTATTTGTGAACATTATTAGAAAATAACAGAGAAATGCAAATTGGTTCACTGTTTCTGGAGGTGGGAGGTGGGATGGGAACAATATGTGTAGAGAGAAGTCGGCTTTGTTTAAATTACAGGGATGGTAAAAAAAACTTATTCGACTCTTTTGGGGTTTTCACATAGACGAAAAGTGTGTTAATCTCCACGAGGGAGTCGATTTTGCATTGACAGTCGAAGAATAAAGCTTTGATGGGATAAATAGTGTTTTTATCATTTCACGTTTTCATATATTCTTCTGAACAACTGAGTGGTTTGAATTTTGGTTTAATTGATTCTCTCTTTCTATTCCCCATTGCAGAACTTTTCAAGAACCAGAAGTTACTGAGAGAATACAGGGACTTTTTGGGTAACACTAGGGTAAGGTCAATTTTAGCCAAAATTGTTCCGAACAAAAACGTATTGCGTCCGTGTTATAACACACTTCGTTACAGCTATGACCTGTTTATAACAAGAATGGCGTATGGGCCCCACTCATTGCATATGCACACAGCTGGGTGTCCAGCTCGGTCCTTTATATCTGTCAGTTTCCAGGTCAATAGGTTATTGCCAATGACATTTGCTAAGAGCTGCGCATGCAACTATGTTTAAATATTTAACAGGTAACTGTTAAATGCATAGTGGAACTGTATATTGCAGTCTCGTTATAAATCGGATTGGAATTATAAATCAGATCTCAATCACCACATTATATCAAGGCTCCTCTGTATTAATTTTTGAAATTGTGCATTTTAGTTTATGGAAAGGCTCAAGAAACAGAAAATTGTGCATACATGTTTGACACCTTCAAAATCTGTTAATTAACGCTGATGTTATTTGCAAAGGGCTTTTTTGACATGCTCTTTTTGCCATTTCTATCGAACACAGTTTTGAAACATCTAACATAGCAGAGTCATGTTAGCCAGCATGTCGATTAGTGTTTTAAATTATGTCATAAACAGTGAAAATAAATTTCAAATGTCTTACCAATATTTTAGTGCTTGAAACAGCTCCCACTGTTAAATTGTGTACCATCTGATGTTGACTAAAATTATTATCAGGATTGTTTTTGTGCTGTAACAGAGGAGTGTAGCATACCTGCTGATATGTCAGTAATGCATCAATTAATTTTAGTTTGCTGCAATCCATTAGAGTTGAATTTGAGCAGTTCAAGCTATCTGAATTTTTATTTTGCTACACTGAAATGCATTTTTATGTGTACGTTTACCACACTGGAAGGAAATGGAAGTTCCATCTAAGTGCAGTAAAATTAGTTCAATTTTAAACTGATAGTAGGCTTCATGAAAATGAGTATAACATTATTCACACAGCAATATTATAGCTTCATTTCACAAAATACTACAGAGGAATAGGATTCCTTAAATATGTTAATAGAAAAAGTCTTGTAGAATGTTCATCATGAGCTACGATTATATGTTTACATCTTGTAATCTTGCTACAATTCTTCTGAAGTTCTTTTTAAACCTTTTTATGAACATTTGTTACAATTATTAGCAGATACATTTGGTATAATCTGTAACAGCTATCAAAACTCTTAGTTTTAAAGGAGAAATAGTCTGCAATGGGTATTTGAGCTTCCACTAGTATAATGAAAACAAATTATTGGCATAAAACCTCATTTGAACATGATATATCAATTTTATTTTCAAAACTGAGGGCCTGAGCCACCCTGGATGCACCCAACCATAGAGACATTTAATGTTAGTGAACGCATACACAATTCACAGGCACTGACTTCCATTAAACTCATGAGAGATGTTGAGGGAAGTCGTAAGTCCTTTGCATAACACATTTATAATCCTTGCATTTGATGTAGCGCTTTTCACGTCGGGAGGACGTCCCAAAGTGCTTCACAGAATATATACTGTAAAGTGACTTGACTATATAATTGTGGGCGAACACGGCAGCCAATTGCGCACAGCAATGTCCCACAAACAGTCGTAGATTGAAAATGACCAATTTATTATTGTTTTTGGTTTTGGAGGGATTATTATGTTACTGGAATAACTAGTGTAGGAGGAGGTTGGTCATAAAGTAGTCTGTCAGATCATTTATTTCTATCTTAAAAAATGTGTGATGTGTATCCAATTGGGTCTTATCCTACTCTGATTAATAAAACTTTTCCAATGACAAAAATCATTCATTATACTTATTAAAATGTGATGATGATGGATGTTTTGAAATCAGTTTAACAGCACAGTGTTCAGTATTTTCCACTGCAGTCCATCGTAAGTGATTTCCCATGGTTCTGGTATGAGCCAGCTGAGGGATGTTGAAATATTTTTGTTTCTGATGCTCACAAGTTATTGCTCTTAACAAGGGTGGAAATATTTTGTCCTGATAGTGCGTGGTAGAGGACCAGCGGTCTAAAATTGGAAATGTAACATTTGCTCAGAAAGGGTGTTTGAGATGAGAAATTTATCTCCACAGCAATAATCTTTAAAATCAGAGCTGTCAGCAAGTGTTTGGCTATCTTTTCATCATTTCACATATTCAGATAAGCTAAACTTTCTGATTTGGACAACTGTTGAGATACTGAGATTTCCGTCCAATATTTTCATGGGAGGTTCTATATTAGTTGTGTGATGTTTTTACATTTAAAAACGGCTAATTATGCTTATTTTTAGAATCGGTAAATTATTTTGCTAATGCTGACTTTTTCTGTTGAGTAAAGAAAAAATGGGAGATGAGCTGCATTTCACAAAATTAATGTCTTACTGAGTATAATTGCAGTGTTGGGAAGCTTGTAACAAGACTACAAGCGTTTGTGGTTTAATTCTATGTCAGTAACCATTTGACATTTCATATATCCTTTCAGCCTCGTTCAACTACATCAAAACCATTTCTACAGGGACCTGCAAAAGTGGTAATGGTTGCAATCTGCATGTAAGTCATTGTTTTGCAATGGAAGACTCTTTTTAAAAAATGAACAGATATGTTAACGAATAAATAATTATTTTGGGAAAAAATGAAGAAGTAGATATGAGAATAATTGTTTATAAGTTGTTCGAAATAGGTTTATCTTGTCCATGATATCTTAGATAATGCAGCAGAAAAGCTTTTTGTCCGGTTTACATGTACTGCATTGGAAAATAAGAATAATGCTATCTTTTTCAGTATCATATTATTGGGTGGCCAAACCCATCACCATCCTTAACAGTATCTAAATCGGACTGAGAGTTCCATGCATGCCACCTACTCATGGAAATTTCAGTGTCTGGAATGGAATGCACTCCCTCTACCCGAAGGGACATATCCTGGTTGCCTAATTCTGGAGAGTATTAAGCAGAGGTTGACAAGAGCAAGCCACGGGACCCCCATAACATACGTTTGGGTACTGCTGGATTGAACAAGCTAAAACCACATAGCTTGCCATTGAAAGCACTGTTGAACAACCTTTCTGCTGCTTGTCCAGCCAAGACCACCATAATAGTTAGGGCTGTGACTTGCAGGATTAACAAGGAGAAAAGAAGGGAATACAGGGGGAGCCCCCGTGATAGCACTCTTCTCTTTAGCACTTCCCCGCTTACCGCACATGGGTCAGCTGTGAACAGTTTCACACATTAAAAACCTTGCCGGCTTCTAGGTCATCCAATCGCTGGTGACATCATTTTCTGAATGTTGCGAATTATGCGCAGGAAGAACTTTACTTTTTAATACAACATCTCTACATTGCTGTCTACATTAATATACTTATTTTCTTCTGTTTTTTGCTCTCTTTAGCAATGGGCTGAATTTTATTTTCAAACTTCTTGCCTGGGTTTATACAGGCTCTGCAAGCATGTTCTCAGAAGCTATACATTCACTGGCTGACACCTGTAACCAGGTAAAGAAGTATTCAGTTTATTACCTGCAATGTACTGGCAAGACTAATGGTGGGGAGGGAGGGTGTGGGGGGGAGATCCAGTCTGGTGAGCCACAATTTCCGTCTCAGCATAATTACAATGCCCGGTACCGGCATTTACCGCATGGCCTCTAAATGCCGGCAAGGATGATGAGGAGGGGTTGCACGAGAAAAGAGTGGGCCAGTGGTAGTTTACACACTTTTGGCTAGGTAGGAATACAGATACCTGGAGTCCAGTAAACCGGGAGTTTACAATATGTCTAGAATTCTGAACTAATTGTATTGGTAATTTATATTAGAAACAAGGAAGACACATTTGTATTTTCCTGATGTTAACTGGGCTAGGAATTATATTATTATTATATCAGCAAACATTAGAAAAGTATGATACATGGAGACTTCATCAATAATCTTTGCTATGAAGTTACACTATTTCAGCTTCAGTTTTATACGTAGACATAATTACTATTTGCAAACTGCAGTTCTGATTATTAAGAAGTGCAACATTTCCTATTTTGAAAAAAAAACGGAAGTCGCTGGGAACACTCAGCAGGTCAGGCAGCATCTATGGAGAAAGGAAAGTGAATCAACGTTTCAGGTCCACGACCCTTTGTCAGAATTGGGGCATGTTGGGAGGGAGAGGCTTTTAAGGGCTATCAGAGGGGGGGAAAGGGAGAGGTTGGAATTTCCTATTTTAAATTTGGGGCCTCCGTTTTTTCAAGATTCCATCTGTAGCAGTAGAATGGATTGGAAAACTTTGTACCCAAGTGATCCTTCAGTACAAATAGAGGAAACATATTATTGGCACTGTGGGTTCAATTGGTCAGCTAGCAAAGTGTAAAACAGTGTCTGGCTTCCAGTTTCCCATTGATTTCACTTCCTGCCCATGGGCAACATGCTACTGATGTTACTTCTTGCATGTTATACATGTGCAAGAAGTGCCATTGACGTCTCTTTCTTATGAAGTCATTTCTGCATGACTTCTTGTGCGTAGAACGAATACACAGCATGAATAAAGTGATATAAATGAAGCTTCCTATGCAGCGACTTCCTATGCATGCAATGCGCACAAAGTGACATCAATGATGAATTGAACACCCAGATATTGGAAGCCAGAAAGTGAGCGCTTTAATGGGGAAATGTTATCATCTAACGACTACCTAGAAAAAAGCTATTTTTTTTTCTTTTAATTTAGTTGCTATGGGGAAAGAGTTTCATTTTGTAATTAGAAGCTGGAATTTTAGATTTTCCTTGTCCATAGATTCATCTAAAGAAGCAGTGCACTTAAGGCACAACAATTCTGGTTCATGTGATGATTTGTTGCAGAAGTACTTGTTTGCTTACAAATTTGTCAAATGAAGAAATCCTTAGAATACCACATTGATGCAAGTCTCATCAGCATTTTGAATATGACACATGGGCAGATTTTATTGGATTTGTGGGGGGAATTTGCTGCAATCCTAAGACGCATCCTTTTTATTCACAGGAAAATAACTTTGTCTTTCTGTCACGAACATCATTTGTATAGAGTTTATGAGGGAAGAAATTATGATAGCTTGTTTGTCTGTGAATGTGCATGGATTTCCAGGAAGTGTGGAATTGTTCTATTTTATTGTACCTGTCTCTCCTTCACACACTATTTCTCGCTCTGTCTCTCCTCTTCTGTTTATTTTACTCTCTCTCATTGACTTTCTTCCTGAATTTCTGTGTCTTTTTCTTTGTACGTGAACGTCTTTCTCTCCTCAATCCCGCTCTAACTGTTCTATTACAAATTACTAAAAAAAACTCATATTGCTAGTTCACAGTTGCACTGTTCTGCTAACTGTTCCCCTCTTCCTTCAATATTCCACCCTAAAATGGATGTAAAATGTTTCTGTACAGGCTTTGCTAGCAGTGGGCATCAGCCAGTCTTCAAGGACCCCAGACCCTGGCCATCCGTAAGGAGACCCTAAATTGTTTTTTACTGTGAACTGAAAAATAGGACACTGTGTAACTTGATCTCTGAAATTGGTTTTAATACAATGAAAAGGCATGCAAAGGACGGATTAACCACTGCCAAATGATACAAGCTTTGGAATCAAAATACTTTGTTAATTTAAATTTAGTAGTACACAGTAGACTTTTTTTTATAAACCTCCTGTCCTGCGAACCTGCACTAAATCGTGGAGTGTAATAACAAATGTCCTACCACAAGATTTTTTAAAAATAATGCGGTTCTACCATATGTGGGGTTATCTTCTTCCTCTCCCCCCCCCCCCCATTCTAGTTGCATAGGCAAACCGAGTTTGTGTGTTCCCCTTGTCTTATAATCCAATTATAACCTTTTTTTAAAAAAAGGTATGGATTTACAAATATGCGCTACATTGCATCCCTAATAAGTGGAGTTGGAATCTTTATGATGGGTGCAGGACTTTCCTGGTACCACGGAATAATTGGACTTTTACACCCTCAACCGATGGAATCTCTATTATGGGTAAGTTCTACATTTATCAAATACTACAGAAATAAGTTGTGGAATAGATTGAGTAAGGAATAAAATATATTCAACAGGTCCAGGTAAATGCACACCCGATCCAAACATAGATTTCAATGTACCAAACCTTTGCCACTGTATAATCCAGATTTTTTCAAATTCAAGTATCAATTAAATACAAAACCCTAGTACTTCAAGCTTTAATAACCCAATTTTAAAAATGTTATGCAATTTTTTTGCTATTGTTGGACTGAAGCACTGAATGAATCATAAAATAGCTTACATATAAACATTTTTTAAACAGACTGTTGTGTTCAAATTATAGAAATAATCGTCCAAACATCATTCTAGTGTCTCAGTACAAAATACTGGGAAAATGAACTGACACTAATTTGCTAGTGTTAGAGATTTGCTCAAATTTTCTACACAAATAAGTACATATGCAGACTGTGATGTGAAAACTAAAGACTCGGGTGTACATAATCCCAGATGCATACAGTGAATACATTGATGCATTGTGACTATTTTATGCTATAAATATGTTAAGCAATATTATTGTATGCTTGGTTTCATGTGGAAAAGTGTTGAGCAATCTAACTTGTAGAAATGAAAAGAGGTTTAATGAAATAAATCCGCTGCTAATAGGTACTGAATGAAAATAAAAATTGAAAAGGCAGTGTAAAAGCTACAGAAAAAATAAGAAAATGGTAATTCTTTAAAATAAAATGTACAGAACCAGAATTAGAAAGTGCATTACAAAGTGTAAGGTAAAATAGTGGGAATAGTTCAATATTTTGGAGGAGGGTTTCTTTTAGACCATCTTTGGGAATCTCTAGAGCTATCCCAAGGAGAATGAATAATTCTTCCAATAAAATTGCCAAATGGTTCCATGTTTTAGCTTCTTTTTAAATGGCTTTGACATTTGAACATTTAGCAAAGCAAATTACAGTGGAATGACATAACCCTGGTTTGTATATATTTGGTTGTGTAATTGTGTGAGTGCTGGGAAGTTTAATTCATCATCTTGAGGTTTTAGTTTTTACTTTATTCATCATCATCAACAACAACAAAATTGCATTTATAGAGCGTCTTTCATGTCGGGAGGATGTCCCAAAGCACTGAACAGTCAGGTGTCGGGGCCCGAGCATGGGGGAGGGGTGGTGTAGGGGTGAGGGAAGGCAGAGAGGTGGGAGGGAGACCAAAGACACGGTCGAAGAGAAGGGTCTTGAGACCGGCCTTGAAGGATGTGAGGGAGGAAGTGAGGCGAAGGGACCGTAGGATGGAGTTCCAGAGTGTGGGGGCAGAGAGGCTGAAAGCCCGGCCACTAGTGGTAGGGCAGGTTGGGCGGGAGACATGGAGCAGGCCGGAGCCCGCTGAACGGAGGGAGCGGGCAGGTTGGCAGGCAGTCGGCAGGTCAGAGAGGTAGGAGGGAGCAAAGCCATGGATGGCCTTAAAGGTGAGAACGAGGATCTTGAACTCGATCCTCTGGGGATGGGGAGCCAGTGGAGTCGGGTGAGGGTGGGAGTGATGGGGTCACGGAGCCTGGTTTGTGAGAGTACACGAGCTGCAGAGTTTGGATGATCTGCAGCTTGTGAAGGGAAGAGTTGGGAAGGCCGATGAAGAGGGAGTTCACGTAATCAAGCCTTGAGGTGACGAATGCGGAGTGGGGACTTAAGTTGCCTCTCGGTCCTTCCTCGTACTAATAGCTCACCTGAGGTTAGGGACTGGTGGAAAATATGGGTGAAAGTTCAAGTTCTGCATTGTTGGTTGTTTTGTTGAAACAGTAATGAATTTAAATATGTTGACTATGGTTGATATTGTTTCATAATAATAATAATAATCCTTGCATTTGATATAGCGCTTTTCACGTCGGGAGGACGTCCCAAAGCGCTTCACAGAACACACTGTAAAGTGAATTGACTGTATATTTGTGGGTGAACGCGGCAGCCAATTGCTCACAGCAATGTCCCACAAACAGTCGTAGATTGAAAATGACCAATTTATTATTGTTTTTGGTTTTGGAGGGATTATTATTAGGCTCTGTGTGGAGTAAGGAAACTTGCCCAAGGTTTCGCCCTCTGCCTGGAATTGAACTCAGGTCTCTCACTTGCAAAGCGAGTGCTCTAACCACTGAGCTACAGGACTCCATTGAAATATTTGGACTCAATTTGATTACATGTCTATTTTAAAAAGAAATCTATTTTAAAAAGAAATCCATATTTATGTTTTTTAGGCATATTGTATCCTCGCTGGATCATTAGTATCTGAAGGAGGTATGGATGTGCAGGCATGGACTATTGCTCTCTAGAAAAACATTTAAACTGTTTCAACAATTTCTATGAATGTGTTTTCCCTTAACTGCTTTGTGCTTGTGCTCTTGATAATCAACCTTTTGAAAGCAATAAAGGTAAACTGATTTTTTTCAAATTGAAAACTAAGTCCTGCCTTGCAGTTTTTACTCTTGAGCTGCATCCATGGATTACGTTTTTGGTAAAACGTGTTTTAATAGTTTTCACCTCGGTTTAACCCTTCGATTGCCAAGAGCTCTAGGTTCACTTGTGTCTCACTGAGACAGCTAGATTTGTACTATTCATCATGTACAATAGATGCTAAAGACAATATTTGTATTGCAATAAAGCTACTCAGATATCAGAGAAAATAGTTCTGTGTAATAGTAACCCCAAACTATTAAACCTGTTTTAAATTTTAAAATATCAACACTTTGTCTGTTTGCATGCTCTACCTTCTTCCTTTTTTACTCTTTTACTTTCAATCTACTGTACCCTATGAGCATAGTAATGTTCATAGTAATGTTCAGGACCAGAAATGATGATTACAATCAATCTGGCTCGTCTCATTTTCAAACAACTACCCAATCTTGCATAATCCCAATTTACGTGTCAGTCTGGTTCAGTTGGTAGCCCTCTTATCTCTGAGTAGGAATGTTGTGGGTTCAAGTCCCACATTGGGACTTTGAGCTCATAGTCTAGGTTGACAGATACCAGGAAGATTTTCTTCACGCAGAGGGTAATCAATGACTGGAATAGGTTGCCAGGTAAGGTGATAGAGACCAGAACACACTAGACCTATTTAAAAAACAGCTTGAAGCAGTGATGGGGTTTTGGGGGATAGGTTGGATGTTCTGGAGGGATGAGATTGGATGAGCTGAAGGGCCTTCTTCATGCAGACCTATCTTGTGATTCTCCAGTGCATTGCTGGGGGTGTGCTGCATTAACGGAGATGCTGTCCTTTGGGTGACACTTTAAACCACGTAAACATAAAAAACAATAAATGAAGCAGCTGCCAAGGATATTTATTGGGGACGCTGTCCTGTTTAAATTGTTGCTTTCAATCAAATTTAATGACCTTTGCAGCAATTACCTTTTCTCTGTTTGTCAATATATTTGCTGCATTTGGTGCTTATGCTGATAATGGCGAAAGTAAGGCAAATTTACCATCAAGAGGAGAATTCTCATTTTTTTAAATGTGTTAGGCAATACGCGTAGTGAACTGAATTGCCTGTTTATCCAGAGTTTTAGCTCTCCACTTGACCTTTTCTGATTACACTGTTGGAGTTAATGCCTAACCACTCGTTCCCAAATTGCCTAACTTTTTTTTACTCATTGTGTGGCAAATCTGATCAGATAAACCACATGTTGTATGTTTGCAGTCATGGCTTTTTGTGTGAAATAATTCAATTGTATTTTCTTTGCAGCAACTCTGCTAGTAGCTGTAAATGAACTCCGCAAGAGTGCTCGAGTTAAAGGAATAACATTTTATCAGTATGGTAAGATACTTTCATCTTTTGAAAGTTGCAATACGTTTTGGTACATATTGGGAAATAGTTTGCTCTAGCATAAACTCTTAACAGTACTGAATAATGTTCAGGGTTCTTTCTGTTATGTTTTTAAAGCTATAGCCAGTCAGTCAGTGGGCAAAATCTAGAATACGGCTTCTAAACAAGTATTCACTCGAAATGCGGCTGCTAGATGGGTTTTTAATTCTTATCTGCAGAGCTTCTAGCAATACATTTTTGCTTTTAGAATTTTATTTAACAACAACAACAAAATTACATTTGTAAAGCACCTTTCATGTTGGGAGGATGTCCCAAGGCGCTGGACAGACAGAGTTACGGACCCGAGCTGAGGGTCGTGGTGGGGGAGGTGGGAGGGCAGGGGGGCAAGCAGGGAGATCGAAAGCACGGTCGTAGAGATGGGTCTTGAAGGTGGCGAGGGAGGGGGCAAGATGAAGGGACTGCGGGATGGAGTTCCAGAGGGTGGGTGCAAAGTGGCGGAGGGCCCGTCCTCCGATAGTGGGGCGAGCAAGGCAGGGGATGTGAAGCAGGCCGGAGCCCGGTGAGCAGAGAGCGAACAGGGTGGTAGGGGGTTAGGAGGGCGGAGAGATACAAAGGAGCAAGATCGGGAGGGCTTTGAAGGTGAGGACTAAGATCTTTAACTGTATCCTCTGTGTGATGGGAAGCCAGTGTAGTTGGGGGAGGATGGAGGTGATAGGGTCACGGAGCCTGGTGCAGGGGAGGATATGGGCTGCAGAGTTCTGGGTGATCTGGAGCCTATGGAGGAAGGAGTTGGGGAGGCCGACAAGCAGTGAGTTTGCATAGTCAAGCTTGGATGTTATGAATGCGAATATGAGTGTTTCGGCAGCCTGCGGTGTGTGACAGTGGCGGAGCCGAGCGATGTTGTGGAGGTGGGGAAAGGCAGAACGGGTCATGGCACGAATGTGGGGTAGAAGGGATAATTGAGGGTCAAACAAGACCACAAAGTTCCGGACTGGCTTGGTAAGGTGGAGTGTGCAGCCATGAATGGTGATGCTGTCAGTACTGTTAAGAGGCACTGACGGGAGCCAACCTGGAGAGCCCTTATTTTACTGACATTCAACCGACGAAAGTTAGCTTGCTCCCTCCAACCTCTGCCACTTCCTAACCAGGACTGGATGAGCGCTAACAAATAGACCCCATGATCAAAAAATCGACAATTTGGACTCCATTGTTATGAGAGTTATAATAATCCTAATCCTTGCATATGGGATAGTGCCTTTCATGTCGGGAAGACGTCTCAAAGCGCTTCACAGAATTTTACGTAAAGCACAGTGACTGTATTTGTAGATGAACACAATAATCCAATTACGCACAGCAACATCCCACAAACAGCAATGAAATGACTGACCAAAGACAGATACAAGCTGAGCAGTAATTGTTCCTATGACCACATAAGTCAGGGAAAAATTACAGGTATTGCAAATTGGGCAAGGTACTGAAGGGTACATGCGAAACCATATCATAGCAATAGTCAGTGTCTTCCAGGACAAAAAAGGTTATGTTGCCATGACTTTTATGGCACAGTATGATCGTACTTCTCACACCGCCTGAATTTCATCTCTTCAAACGTCTTCTCCTCTAGCCCAAGGACCATATCGTGTGGTGTTCCTCAGGGCTCTGTCCTTGGTCCCCTCCTCTTCAACATCTTATATGCTCTCTCTTGGTGAGATCATCCGCAGACATGGGTCAACTTCCACATGTATGTGAATGACACCCAACTCGACCTCTCTGCCTCCACTCTTGACTCCAGGACACTGCTGTGCTGACAGAATGCCTGTGAGACATCAAGTCCTGGATGAGAGCTAACTTTCTTCAGTTGAACGTCATCAAGACCGAGGCCCTCCTGATTGGCTCCGGTCAGCGCCTCCACACCTCAGGCGCTGACAACATCACCATCCATGGTTGCACACTCCACCTTGCTAAGCCAATCTGGAACCTTGGGGTCTTGTTTGACCCTCAACTATCCTTTCTACCCAAGATCTGCGCCATGACCCTCTCTGCCTTCCCCCACTTCCACAACATTGCCCAGCTCTGACACTGTCACACCGCAGGGCGCCAAAACCCTCATACACACATCACTACCTCTCCTCTCACCTCAACCTTCAAGGTTCTGTCCTCGAATGGTTCAGATGCTATCTCACACCAGCTCCACTTTGTCTCCACAAATGGCTTCTCCTCCAGCCCCCACACCGTTTTGTGTGGTGTTCCTCAGGGCTCTGTCCTCGGTCCTCTCCTCTTCAACTGGTACATGTTCCCTCTTGGTGATATCATCTGCACACCCAACTCTTATCTCTCTGCCTCCACACTCGACCCCAGGATCACTGATGTCCTGACAGAATGTCTCTCAGACATCAAGTCGTGAATGAGAGCCAACTTTTTACAGTTAAACGTCAGCAAGACCTAGGCACTCCTGATTGGCTCCCGTCAGCGCTTCTACACCTCAGCACTTGCAGCATCGGCATCTACAGATGCACACTCCATCTCACCAAGCCAGTCAGGAATCTAAGCGTCTTGTTCGACCTTCAACTGTCCTTTTTCCCCACATCCGTGCCATGACCCACTCTGCCTTCCCCCACCTCCGCAACATTGCCCACCATTGCCTCACCCCTCAGGCTGTCAAAAGCCTCATACATGCCTTCATTACGACCAGGCTCGACTATGCCAATTCCCTGCTTGTCAGCCTTCCCACTCTTCCCTCCACAAGCTGCAGATCGTAGAATAATGCAGCACAGAAGGAGGCCATTTGGCCCACCGTGTCTGTGCTGGCTCTTTGAAAAGAGCTATCAAATTCAATCCCACTCCCTGCTCTCTCCCTGCAAACTTGTCCTCCCCAAATAATTATCTACTTCTCTTAAAAGTTGTTATTGAATTGGCTTGCACCACCCTTTCAAGCAAAGCATTCCAGATCCGAACAACTCGCTGTGTGAAACCTTCTCTGCTCCAAGGAGAATAATCCTAGCTTTTCTAGCCTCTCCTGATAACTGAAATCCCTCATTCCTGGTACCTGATCATCCAGAACTTTGCAGCTTGTGTCCTCTCCCGCACCAGGCTCTGTGACCCCATCATATCCACCCTCACTTGGCTCCACTGGCTTCCCATCCCTAAGAGGATCGAGTGCAAAATTCTCGTCCTCACCTTCAAGGCCCTCCATGGCCTTGTCCCATCCATCTCTCCGACCTGCTAACCTCTTATCAACCTGTTCGCTCCCTCCGCTTAGCAGGCTCCGGCCTGCTCCATGTCCCCCTCCCGTCCCGCATCACCATCGGCAGTCAGGCCTTCAGCCTCTTTGCCCCACTGTCTGGAACTCCATCCCACATTCCCTTCAACTCGCTCCCTCCCTCCTTTGCCTCCTTCAAAGCATGCCTCAAGACCTTCCTCTTTGACAGTCCTTCTGCCACCCTCCTACCCCCACCCTCCGTGCCCTCCACCTTCCCTGATCCCAAACCCCCACCCCCCCACCCCACTTGGGTCCTAATCCCTGACTGTTCAGCACTTTGGGACGTCCTCCCGGTGTGAAAGGCGCTTTGCAAATGTAATTGTTTATTGTTTGTATTTGTGATTACCAGAAAGAGCCCTGCACAATCATTCTGGCAAAATAACTAAAACGCAATAAAATGGCAATGAAGAACATTGACTGTATGTAGCAGTTGTGTCATTTAATACTAATCAATGATAATAATTAAAATTTAATTTTATGTTTCAGTGATTGTTATGAAAAACTTAGCTTTACTCTTCTGTTTTATAATATTTTCTACTGGCCAGATTATTTTCTAGTACTTTATATCAGGTATCGAATATTCTCTCTAATTTTGTTATGTGGACAATCTGGTCCATTATTATAGTACAGGCTGGGATGAAATAAATTAATGTCTACCAATCTGCTATAACCTGTTTGTTCTCATTCTATTAACATGTAAACATGTTTTTTTCACAGTGGTGCACGGTCACGATCCCAGCACTAATGTTGTTCTGTTGGAAGATTCAGCTGCTGTTATAGGAGTGATGTTAGCAGCTAGTTGCATGGGACTGACATCTCTTACTGGTAAGGCACAACATAGAACAGTAGCTCAATGACTATTTTGCTAAGTTCTCCTTGACATATTTAGATACAGTACGTGATTTGTTGTGGAGAGATGGTACTAGAGAGCAGGGAATGTAAAATGTTATATTGGATTGGGTAGAGATTACATTTATGATTTAACCTTACATCTAAGCACTTACCTTAAATTGGCTTCTCAATGTTTGCAGCTTCCTCTTTAATCAACTATATAAAACAGTATGGTTACACTTTTATATTTCTATTGTTCCCAAAGGTTATAATATAGATTGAGGGTTTTGCACGTCATGTGTTATCAGGACGTTGATCATTTGATAACTTGTAGTTAGTAATCTGAAGGCAGATGTCCGCCAGATAGCTGATGAGGAAACTCTGAGGCTTGGGGCGACAGCTGTTGGAAAGCGTTACCTGGAGTTCGAGTTTGTAAACACACATTCATACATCCAGTGCCTGGAATCCACCTTGATTGGCCTGCAGAGAGGTAAGCACCTGTTGCTTAAGCTCCACACCTCAACTGGTGGAATCATCGCTTGATGGCGAGGAACATGTGCCCAAGCTGCAGACAGGAAGATGGTGGCAATGCTCTCGTGCATTTCATGCTGAGCTGTTTTGCCCACCGGGAAGCTTGCAGGGAGTTCCTGGTACCTACTATCGACCTAGTGAGGGCTCAAACCTACACTTGTCAGATGTCAAATGATTAACTAGTGACTATCCTCCTGTGGGGGAGGTAAGCAGAGTCTCCTTGGAGCTGAACTGGCTTAAGGTGACATGTTTGGCAATGGATCCAGAGTAATCCAGGCCACTGCTGACAGCACAGCCAGACTGGCTTATCGGCAAGACTTGGAAGGGCAGACCAGTCACTGGGGGCAGGGGTTTCTCTCACTCAGCTCCTGTTAGCCAAAGCCCTAATGGGTAGGATGGTCTGAGCTGGACAAGCAGCAGAAAACCTTGCCAGGCAGCATTCTCAATGGCAAGCTATGTGTTTTTAGCTGGTAAGACTCCAGCAGTATTACTCCAACACATGTGAAATTTCTTCCATGAATCTTGCTAACCACGTTCCCTGGTGCTCAACCTGAATTGGGCTAAAATAAGTAGACTTTTACACCCTCACACTACAGGAAATTAATGTTAGGTACTGATATGTCCCTCTTAGTCTCGGCCAAAATACATTTTCCAAAACAACTGAGATCGTCCCATTGACTCTTTGTTGGAATGTGCAGCTGGTCTTAAACAGAATTTGATGTACCCATCTATATCTCCTGGGAAAAATATTTTTTTCCTGAAGTCAATGTTATCTAATTGGCACCTCTTAGCAAAATTGTTTATTATATTTACTCAGACAAAATACTCCCAGGAACTTTAGTGCTTAATCAGCAACCTGAAATTTAGCTGAATTTAACTCTTTGTACACTGATTTATGTAGCTTATAGTATTCAGAAACCTCTAGTTCTGACAAGATGCACAAATACAACAACAAGATTCCATTTATAGACGCCTTTCACGTCGGGAGGATGTGAATAATTTGAGGTCGACAAAACAGTGACTCAAAAAAGCAACAAATTTCATTGATATAGCGCTTTTCACGTCGGGAGGACTTCCCAAGGTGCTGGCCAGTCAAGGATTTGGACCCGAGCTGGGGGTTGGGATCAGGAGGGTAGGAGGGTAACCGAAGAGGAGGTTCTTGAGACGGGCATTGAACGAGGCAAGGGAGGGTGAGGTGAAGGATGGAGTTCTAAAGGAAGGAGCAGAAACGCTGAAGGCCCAATCGCCGATTGCAGGGTGGGGGATATGGAGCAGGACAGAGCCCCCTGAGCAGAGGGAACGGACAGATCAGTATGGAACAGGATCACAACAGGATTCACTAATAGCGACTCAATTGCTAATGAGAAATGCTGCCAGTAACTGACATATCATAGAAATCCAATAGGACTAGACACAGATACTTTATAATCAGTCCTGTTCAGGAGGAGCCTAAGTGTGAACTCAAATTGCTATTCATGAGCACACTCCGAAGCATCGATAGTAGATCAGGGAGTTACCATGCATTCGTCAGCAACAGCAAATTACATTTGTATAGTGCCGTTCACATCGGGAGGACGTCTCACTAGCTTGCCCAAGTGGCAATTGTTTATGTATGAGCCTTGGCAGTGAATGATGGTAGCCATCTCAGTTGCAGAGGGCATCACAGCCAAGCCTGGACCTCTCCCTACCTGGCTGGCACAACCAATAAAGGGTGCTGTAGAGAACCCAAGACCAGGAATCCTGGCTGGTTTTCCCTGGGCAAATTTAGCTTCCTCTTGTCTGAGATCAGCAAACTCGGCATGGACCTTGGTTTTAAGAGCTCCTGGTCCATAAGCTGTAGTGTATCTACAACACCATCAGGGCTGCCCCAATCAGCAAGTTCTTTACTGTCCTTCAGGTTGAATCAAAGGTGTTTCCACACCATGTAGATTTGAAAATCCATTGATAAGTTCCTCAAACTTTTGGTTCAGTTATCTTTTATCAAGGAACCATATCTTTGACCGTCAGTTTTTCCAAGTCCTCTTAACATCAACATCCAAACCCTCTCAACATAAACATTACAACTTTTCTTGTTTTGATAAATGTTAGGTGCTATTCTATCTCAGAGACTAAACATGGAAAAGTGCGAGCAATTGATTTGTGCACCAAATTGACGCTCTCCTCTTGTATTTGAGCTCATGGATACCCATTTTCCACAACAATTATTCCTTCCACTCCTCCTGAATACCATTTATTATAAAGCATTGGCATCTAGCTTTATTATTTGGCTAAAAGTAACCATTAACTTAAAAAAAAAATTGGTCACTCAATCCACGACTGTTTGTGGGATACTACTGTGCGCAATTGGCTGCCACGTTTCCGCCCACAAAGCACACAGTCAATCCACTTTGCAATATGATCTGTGAATTACTTTGAGATGTCTCATCAACGTGATAAGGCAGTATATCAAATGCAAGGATTATTATTATTATATTGTACTAAGGAATTGAGAATAAATCATTCTGAAAAATATCATCAAAACTACCCGGTGACCACCATGTTCAGTTTTCTGGAACAACCTTAAGTCATGTTACCATTTGATGACAGTTTCAATTAATATTTGAGCTGTTATGTTTATACAGCCTTTTTTGTACCTTTTAAAAAAATTGCTGCTCAACCCTAATCAATTGTGGAGCCAAGCAGAAAATGTAGTCAATCATTTGGACCTTAAAACAGAATTGTTAATGTAGGTGTACCTCTAGCTGTTTGATGATATTGGATAATGTGATCTTGGATTCAGCTAAAAGTAGGTTTTGTTGAGGTGATACCATGTAAGTACCCAAATAGTTATAAAATACTATAATAGAAAGCTATACTTTCTTGAGTAATTGAATAACAGTAATGAAGACAAGGCTGTGCAGTTAGTTATAATTTGGGATTAGCACGATCATTCAAGTACATTATTACTTAAATATTTCACTTTTTTTGTTCTGCTTCCTCTATTCCAGGTAATCCATATTATGATAGCCTAGGCTCTCTAGGTGTTGGAACACTCTTGGGAGCAGTATCTGCATTTTTGATCTATACCAACACAGAGGCTCTGCTTGGGAGGTCAATTCAAGCAGAAGAAGTACAGCGACTTACTGAGCTGTTGGAGAATGATCCTTCAGTAAGGTAATTGGGTTTCCTGGGTTAGGGTTACTCACAGACCAGTAGCAGTTGAGGAAGTCTAAGGAAGTTGGTCATCCTCCCACTCCCAAGCCCCTTGCCCTCCACCCATCTTGATTCCAAACTCCAGTTTGTTTGCAAACCCTTGAATGTCCAGCACCTTGGGATGTCTCCCAACGTGAAAGGAGCTATATACATGCAATTTGTTGGAAGCTAAATACAATGGTCAATTCAAAATGATGAATCAACAAAGCATTATATGGATTCAATGTTTTGCATTGATTACTGCCTGTGAAGTAAAGGTAGTAACAACGTAATATACATAAGAATGTCAAAATATCCATTCTTTCATAACAAATAATTAATGCTACATTTTTGATAGCGATCTAGAATAATTTGATACAAGTTCATTAATTTGTGTGAATCTATCAAAAATCACCAACAGCTCCTTAAGAGTTGTCCAGTCAATTAAACTGAGGATTGAAGGGTAATGCAGAATGCAATAGCACATAAAACTGGTAGTAATTAGAATAATGAACCTTCAGAAGATCTGGTGTGACTAAGGTAGCAGTTCTTTTCTGGTCATTGTGAAATGTATAGCGAAGAGGGTGGGGGATGAATCTTTGTCTTGGTTATAATAGGTATAGCATTAGACAAAATACAGCACCAATCCTACAAGTTAAGATGAGCTAGTGGAACAATATATTGCATTTTATCATGTGCGAGAGTGGGTTTCCTACTCTGATTCCCCATACAACTGTAAACTTTAGCTGGTTGCAAATATGGACGGCCAAGAGGATACTGTAGGATGGTTTTGGGTACGTAATGGCAGATTATAATAACATCATTACCTGTATTACCTGTGTACAATCTAGATGTCTAGTTCAATTGTCTTTCGTACACCACATCTGGTACCTGATCAGGAATTTCTCCAATGCACCCCTCACCAGTCTCCCCAGCTCTACCATTCACAAAGTCCAGTTGACTCTACTGCCTGTATTCTCACCCGTAGCAAACTCCACATCACAATCTATCCAGACTTTGATAGGATCCGTTGGCTGCCTGAAGCAGAATGGATCGATTTAAAGATCCTCATGCTTCCCTACAAATCGCTTCATGCCCACCTCCCTATCTCCGCAACCTGCTCATACCCCACTCATCTACACTCCAGCCCTTTTTGCTTGGAGGCTTGGGCCTTCTGCATGTCACTTGAATTCTCTGCTCCACCATTGGCGGCTGTGCCTTCAGCCGCCACACCCCGAATCTCTGGAACTTCCTGCCTCAATTCCTACACTTTGCCCTCTCTTTATCCATCTTCAGAACCCACCTGAAAACTTTCCTCTTCAACTGTGCCTGCGCTCACCTTCCTTTTCTCCCGTCTCAGTGTCAAACTCATTGCCATTGTTCAGCGCTCTAAGATGCTATCCTGTGTGAAGGGCACTGTATAAATGCAAGTTGTTTTTGTGAGTGGTTACCTTAATTGAATGCAATATAAAGTGATGTTTACTGTATTTGTTCAGTTTACTTTTTCCATCAATATATTTCTGGATGCTAGAGGATATCTACTTTAAATTTCAATTCTATATTAAATCTCTCCAGGGCTTTACATGATGTGAAGGCCACTGATTTGGGTATGAATACAGTGCGATTTAAGGCAGAAGTCGATTTTGATGGAAGGATAGTGACGAGGTCTTATCTGGAGAAGCAAGACATTGACCTGATTTTAAATGTAGGTAAAACAATCTATGAAATACTAACTATGTAATCTTTTGCCATTCTTCTGCAATGATTAAAATTATTGTATCTGCTAGAGTTCAAATGTATTGCATGGGGAGATGGTGAGATGAGACATTATTCTCACTATTAACACTACTATAGCAGGGAAAATTGCAAATGGGGCTATCTCAAAAAGCTATTGCTCTTCCACATGATTTTTGTCTCTACCCCTCTCCATCCTCTCCAATCCCGACCCACAGCTCGGGTCCAAAACTCTTGACTGTCCAGCGCCTTGGGACATCCTCCCGACGTGAAAGGCGCTATACAAATGTAATTTTGTTGTTGTTGTCTTTTGTAAGAGAAGTTGGAAATGCACTAAAACGTATTACTAAATTCTAATGTAACTGTTCTCCATGGTTGCAAATATTCCTGAGCATGTTTCAAACTGGCACCTTTGAGCTGAGGTTGGTGTATCAGTTCTACTAAATGTTAGTTTAGATTTTGCTTCAACAAAAACTGACCATTGTTGGGCTCTGCTTCGTGTCATAGAAGTACTGCAATGGACAGATTGAAATCTGTTTTTTTTATGTTGCATAAATATTATGCAATAACAACAGCAAACATTGCTCCTGATGAGGGAGGTAGTTTTGGGATAATACAGTATAAAGGTGTAACGTGTACACCAGATTATATAAAGTGTTGTATCTACTCATTTTAGAAAATCAAATGTTAACAATAAAATTGAAGAGGATGGTCATATTTTTACTTTTCAAAATATTGATTTTGTTAATAATTTTCTATTCCTGTCTTCTTATTTCTTGTGCGAATTATCAGAAACATCCATTGTTGCTGTGACTGTTTTGATAAACTTGTGATTTATTGTAAACCCATTTTCATTTATTTTACAGGAAATTCAGCAGGTAAAGACTCCTGAAGATTTAGAAATATTTATGCTGAAACATGGAGAGAACATTATTGACACCCTGGGAGTTGAAGTTGACAGACTGGAGAAGATGCTGAAGGTGTTTTTATTTACTTTTTTATTTTTTTGCACTGACATAGACACATGCTGAAACCCATCACTATGCTTAGGAGTTTGAAAACAGATTGAGAGATCCACAAAGGTTTGCCACCACACATGGAAATTTCCCTTTATGTGGAATAGAGTGTGCATTCTCTCCCTGGAGGGATGCAACCTGCTTATCTAGTTTGAAAGAGCCAAGACATGGAGGTGCATTGGGAGTACTGTTGGAGTTTAACCAGCTAAAACCACATAGCTTGCCATTGAGAGAACTATCTGGCAAGCGTCCACTGACGATGGAGTCCTGTAGCTCAGAGGTCAGTGGTGTGGAGTCCTGTAGCTCAGTGGTTAGAGCACTTGCTTTGCAAGCGAGAGACCTGGGTTCGATTCCCAGTAGGGTGAAACCTTGGGTAAGTTTCCTTACTCCACACTCCTGATAATAATCCCTCAAGAAAAAAATAACAATAATAAATTGGTAATTTCAATCCACGACTGTTTGTGGGACACTGCTGTGCGCAATTGGCTGCCACATTTCACCCACAAATATACAGTCAATTCACTTTACAGTCTATTCTGTGAAGCGCTTTGAGATGTCTAGAAGACGTGAAAAGCGCTACATCAAAATGCAAGGATTATTATTATTATCCAGTTGAGACCTCCCTTACCTGTTAAGTCTGACTTGCAAGGTTATTAGGAACCAAATGGGAAGAATCCCTTCTCCCAACAACTGGTCTGCCTCTTCAAATCCTGCAAATGAGCCAGGCAGACTGGTCTGTCATCATCAGAGCCCTGGGTACTGCGGACCTGCCTCGCTCAGAAATCAATCCTACCACAAACTCAAACTCAACTCTGACAATCCATTGACAAACATGTCACCTTGGAGCCAGCTCAGCTTTGAAGAGACCCTACTTAACTCCTTTTCTAGGAGAACAGTCAATTGACCAACTAGTGATCAATTCTTATTTAAATGGGCTAAATATGATTCATTCCATGAAGTTTGTAACTATTTAAGATACAAAGAGGATATATAATCGAAAAACTAACAAAACTCAGAGAGGATAAAACCCCTGGTCCAGATGGATTGCATCTGCTTATCTTAAAAGATTCGAGGGAAGAGATAGCAGAGGCACTATTACATATACATAATAACTCATTAGAAAAGAAAGTAGTGCCAGAGGACTGGAGGATAGCTAATGTTAAACCTATATTTAAAAAGGGACATAGAACAAGCCCAGGGAACTATAGACCTGTCAGCTTAACATCGGTGGTAGGAAAGATAATGGAATCCTTACTGAAGGAGGTAATAGAAAAAACATCTAGAAACGGAAAACATGATAAAGAGTAGTCAGCACAGATTTCAAAAAGGAACCTCATGCTTGACCAACCTCATTGAATTCTTTGAAGGGATAACAGAAAGAGTAGACAAGAGTAATGCGGAAGATGTAATATATTTAGATTTCCAAAAGGCGTTCGATAAGGTACCACATAATAGACCAATGAATAAGGTCAGAGCATGTGGAGTCAGAGGGAAAATAGCAGAATGGATAGCAAAACATCCATTCAAGCTGGCTGCAAAAAAAAACAGAGTAGGGGTAAAGGGTAGCTTCTCAGACTGGCAAGGGGTGGGCAGTGGTATTCCACAAGGATCGGTATTGGGACCACTGTTGTTCACAATATACATTAATGATTTGGACTCGGGAATCAGCAGTACAATTTCAAAATTTGCAGGTGACACCAAATTGGGGGGGTAGTTAATACAAAAGAGGACTGCCAACAAATTACGGCAAGACATTAATAAACTTGCTGAGTGGGCCTTTAAATGGCAAATGCATTTCAATGTAAAAATGTGTGAGGTGGGACATTTTGGTAGAAGGAATAAGGAAGTCACAAACATCCAGGAAAATAAAAACCTAAATAGCGTAGAGGAGAAAAGGGAACTAGGGGTACACAAAGACAATTCACTAAAAGTAGCAATGCAGGCTAATTAGGCCATAAAAAAGGAAAACCAGGCATTGGGGTTAATTTCTAGAGGGATAGAAATGAAAAGCAGGAAAACTTGTATAGAACCATTGGTAGACCACCCTTAGAATACTGTGTACACACTTAGAATACTTATAGAAGGGATGTAGAGGCACTGGAGAGGGCGCAAAGGAGATTCACAAGGATGATCCCAGACCTGAGAGGTTATACCTATCAGGAAAGGCTGAACATGCTTGGACTCTTCTCTGGAAAAGAGGAGGGTAAGGGGTGACCTGATAGAGGTTTTTAAAATTATGAAAGGTTTTGATAGGGTAGACATAGGGAAGATGTTTCCACTTGTGGGGGAGACCAAAACCAGGGGCCATCAATATAAAATAGTCTCAAATAGATCAAATAGGGAAGTTAGAAGAAATGTTTTCACATAGAGAGTAGTGAGAATGTGGAACGTGCTACCACAAGGAGTTGTTGAGGCAAATAGCATAGATGTATTTAAGGGGAAGCTCGATAAGTACATGAGGGAGAAAGGAATAGAAGGTTATGCTTGAAGGCTTAGTTGAGGAAGGGCAGGAGGAGGTTCATGTGGTACATAAACACCGGCATAGACCATTTAGGCTGAATGGCCTGTTTCTGTGCTCTATATTCTACTGTATTCTAATATTATGTATTTTTGGCAATGTAAGGAAATATGCAAAGCAGTAAGTATTAGGCTAATGCAGTAATCCATCCGTTAATGCAAGCATCTAACAACATGACTTGAATATCAAAATATTTTAGTTTATTTATGCTGTTTCAGAGTTTGTTCTTGAGAGTAATTGGATTCACCCTTTCAAAAATATCTAATTATATGGAAGAAAAAGCTCAAGATTCTATAAATCTAGGTTTTGTATGTATTAAAGATAAAATGGGTTTGCTAGTAAGTTGCAATTATGGCATCCTTGCACTACAATTATTTAATAAGATTTGGGGATTTCGTTCTGCTGGTTATATAAATTATGGAAATTGTGTGCAAAATAGCTGCTGTTTACCCACAAAAAGTAAAACCTTGGTTAGACCACACTTAAGAGTAATGTGTACAGTGCTGGGCCCCACATTCTACAAAAGATATAGAGGGACTGGAGATGGTGCAAAGGAGATTTAGAAGGATGATACCGGGACTGCGAGGTTATACCTATCAGGAAAGGCTGAACAAGTTTGGACTCTTCTTTTGAAAAGAGAAGGGTGAAGGGTGACCTAATAGAGGTCTTTAAAATTAAGAAAAGTTTTGACAGGGTAGACATAGAGAAGATGTTTCCACTTGTGGGGGAGACCAAAACTAGGGGCCATAAATATAAAATAGTCACGAATAAATCAAATAGAGAAGTTCGAAGAAACTTCTTTACCCAGAGAGTGGTGGGAATGTGGAACTTGCTACCACAAGGAGTAGTTGAGGTGAATAGCATAGATGCATTTAAGGGGAAGCTATATGATGGAGAGAGGAACAGAAGGTTATGCTGATAGACTTAGTTGAGGAAGGGCAGGAGGAGGCTCATGTGGAGCATAAACAACGGCTTAGACCATTTGGGCCAAATGGCCTGTTTCTGTGCTGTATATTCTATGTAATTCTATGTAAAAACAATCCTTGCAAAGGACAGTAATTACTGGTGCAGCATTTTGACATTAAAGATAGCAAAAATATATTTAGAACATAAGAAAAAAGACCATCTAGTTTGTCTTCCACCTTCCTGGCGGTCTCATGCACATATGTCCTGAACTACCTATGTACTGTATCCCATAATGTTATTTCCTAAAAGAAAACTATCTAATCTGTGTTTGAAAGAATCAACACTTCCTGCTTCAACCGTCTCCCTAGGAAGCCTGTTCCACAGGTTCACTAGTTGCTCACTATTATTTCATCTTTATGTAACTAATACTTGTGGTGCAGTGGATCAGTAACAAGTTATTTAACGTCTTGGAACTAGATTCAAATTCAATCAACTGATGCAATGGAAGTTCTTGTCTAGCTTGTCTCTTAAGGATCTTTCATAAAATGAAACTTTAGTTCTGAAAGGTTGGATTATACTCAAATTCTAAGGTTTATCATTTGAAATATAATCTTTCTAAAGGGATACTTTCATTAAAACCTGGATATTGCATTAAATAATGCATTTACATTATTTAAGCATGATAGTGAAATTCCAATACATATTTTAGTTGTGCAACATCATAGAATTTTTTGTTACCAGACTATAAATGAAGCTTTGATCTCTAAAATATGTTGGTAAGTATAATTCTTAAAATGCTCCTTTTGTGTGAATTAAGTTATTAAAATGATAAAAGTAGAATAAAAAATTCATAATATTATGTTTTTATTTTCAGCAAAAGTATCCCGAAGTTCGCCACGTTGATTTAGAAATCTTATGATTTACTGTGGAAGTGAAGAAACCATTGATGTCTACTGAAGAACACCACAAAATAGATACACAACGTATAGCTATTATAATACCTAGCACAGTCTTTTCAAAGCTGTTATCAGTTTTTTTCTCTAAATATTGTATTTAAAGACATTGAACAATGTGATATATGACAATGACGGCTTAGTGGATTGTTGTGCTATCAAGTAATCTCTTGTGGTGTAACTACCATATTACCTGGATGAAGAGCTACTCCTTTTGTAGGATATTGGCACTGGACCAATTTGGATTTGTGATGGTGGTGGGTTGTAAGGGAGGTGGAAAGATAGTAGTTATCTGCTTACAAATGGGGTTGATTGTATCACCTACTCAAGAGATGCAATCCTTATTGGTCTGCATGAGCTGTACTAGATAGAGCTGTCAAGATTCAAACCCTACACCATACGGATTCATTCTGTTCAGTCTTGCATATTGTGAGGTTAGAGTGTGATATCTGCACTGTGCAAAACAAATCTTTTATTTATGGGGCCATTTAAACTAATGGTATAGTAATCTGCAATGTTCTGACCAAACTTTTACAGAAGCTTTTGGGAGTGACAATAAAACATTATTTAATAAAATGTCATTTTAATATATTTATTTAGAAAAAAAACTGAAATATCTTGAATAGAGTGAGGAAAAGAATACAAGAATACTTGTTTTAAAACTTGGCCAATAGTTATAATGCTAGTAAAGCTTCCATGGGCATGAGTAATTATTTTATAGCTGCTTAAATAGTAAGATTTAGTCAGAAGAATTTGATGAGTGAAAAATGAAAAAAAATCACTTTGAGTGACTCTTTTTCTTTGGTTCATTCCTTATTTTACAAAGAATAATTTGTATATAATGATTATTATATATAAATTGTTTAGGTGGGAAATTTAACAGCAGTGCTTCATGAAAAGAACTGCAGTTTTCCTCTTTGTCTTTGCACTTTTTTGGGGTGGTTGATATCCACAGAAACACCAAAATCAGTGTTTTTTTTAGGAATAATAGGTATTAGATTAAAAAGCAACAAGCCTGGTGTTAGGATGTGGGAGTACACTGTTTACATGCAAAACAAGAAACGCGTTATTTCATTGGTCCATTGACCTTACAAAGTTAAATACCATGTCATTTTGAATTTCAATGTGGTATTGCTCTAGAAATGTATATAATAGTTTGATTCATAAATACAAAATGACTATTACATTACAAGCTGCACTAGAATCGTTACATTCCCCCACATAACATGCATGTTACAACTGACAGCCCAAAAACTGTTGTGAAGTGGTGAACATCTGGGATATTGTTTTTTTCACTGAATGCTGTTTTTTGGGGGTTTCCTAATCTCCATGAGTAAGAAACTAATCTAAGAGGCGGTGGCTCTGTGAGAAACCAACTGTCTGTTTAGACCTAGGACTTGAGTGCCAGAATAATAGTCTCCTTTCTGCAAGCTGAAGCGGGATCTACATAAAATGAATTGAGTTGTCTTATTCCAGGTCGTAATGGCTATTGACCATTGGTAATAAAAACAGATAATATTTTGGCCAATAGGATGTCTAGTGAGAATTGGTTAAAACACTCACTCGCCTTGCAAGCGAGAGGACCAGGGTTCAATTCCTTGACAATGCAAAACCCTAAGCAATCCTAACTGCACAGCTCTGTTTACCCAGCAGTAAGTAGGAACCCGGTTCTTAGTCGATAAGCGGATTGCTTTCTGGGGGTAAAAAAATCAAAAAATAATTATTATTATTTGGTCATTCTATCCACATCTGCTCTTTGAGATGTCTCAACAACTTGATAAGGCATATATGAAATGCAATGATTATTATTATGTTCTGTGCAGACTTCATTTTTTTTATCAACCTGATAAAGATGTTCTCACAGTATCATTAGCTTCATATGCAAGTAGTGCGAGAAGACTGGAATGTAAAGAATAGTGTCTTTAACTCAAGCTGTGCAGACTGATGGAAGGTTAGTCTTCTGTTTAGTTGTAAATATTTGTGATATATGATGCAAATACTGTAGCTGTTGCAGAATCATCCCATCCTAAACTTGCTGTAGTTAAATAGGATAGAAAATAAAACTATTAATTAACTGAAAGTGTAGTCGACTTCATAGTGTAATAAATTAACTGATCTACCAAACCCTCAACAGTTGGGTAGATGTGTTACTAATAGTTGAAGAAGGAACCTGTGAAATGCTCAAGTCTTACAAAAAGATAATGGTGCTATCTAGTTTACATTTACTGCTTCATGTGAAGTTTTTAATGATCCATTATACAGGAGTACATGATTATGAAATTATTTTAGGCTATTGATTGCAAACATTTTTACAGTGCTTTCTCATCATTTGGCTAGTTAGCTGGAACAAAAAAAACACTCCAGTATAGTCAGGTTCCACCTTTGATTTTCCCAAAGAATCTTTTCGATACATATTTGATTCGATTTTATTTTTTTGTATTCAAAGGTTTCTTTAGAATTAGATAAGCATTCTCTTTTCAACTTAATATAGGCAAAATAGACTGGAATGAGGTTCACAGGAATATGCTTTTAAGGCAATAGTATAGTTGTGTAGCTTTTCATAGCTTAAAAAAATACATTTGTATAGCTGCTGTTACGTCAGGAGGATGTCCCAAGGCTTTGGAGAGTCAGTGTTTTGGATAAAAAAGTGGCGTTTGGCAAACCTTCTTGTGTTTTGATGCTTCAATTAGTGCCGTGCCAAGCCATGGATCATTTCCAATGATACTATTGGGCACTGTTCTCTCTTTTTCTCCACTGTATCTAGAGAAAGGAAATAAATCCATTTAGAACCACAGAAATTCACAGCAAATCCTGTTAAGAGGCAGTCTTACTGCACTATCCATAGAAAAAGTTAAATGGCAATAGAACTATTGGACATGTAGGGGTTTTATTCTCCCTTTCTGCAGGAAAGTATCTGCACGTGGCAACAAATGGTCGATAAATTTACTGGCTTAAATTCTAGGTGTAGATCCACACTTTTAACTAAAGAATATTGAAACATTTATAGATCTAAAGCAAGACACTGGAATTGTATTTTTTTTAAAAAAACAAAGCTTGAGTAATACTGGTAAAGGAGTGAAAAAAAACTTTTTTTTTCTGTTTTTCATCCCACACTATCTACCAGGATAACAACTCAGATTGAGATCTTCGGTTATTTGGTTTACTTTTCAGGTAATTTGATGTAACCGAAGATCTCAATTTGAGTTGTTATCCTGGTAGATAGTGGACAACGTGGAAAGTTAAAGAGATTCTGTTTTAGGTTAAGCAATGTTGGGAGAGGTCAGAATGGTTCCTCAGTTCTTAATGCACCACCACTTAATTTCAGTGGATACAAACTGGATTCCCCAGAAATCATTCCTCCTTAATAATCACAGAATAACTCACATCAACAATTTCCTCAGATTTCAAAACTGGTAATATTTCTGCAATTATTTAAGGTGTGAGGAATAATTTCAGATTTAATTTCCTGCAAATGATGGAATTATTCATCAAACCACTGTTATCCTAGGTATTTGCATACTGTATATTATGTTTTATATTGATATTTGTTTCTATTGGCAGTTTTGTCTCAGTTTGACATAACATTCTGTGGGTCTGTTGCACTCTTATTTAATGTAGATGTAATGTACTAGGCCTGTCTTTACACCTAAACTGAAAAATTAATTGCTCTGATGGGAATATCAGTGTTATTTTTCAAGGTGTGCAGTGAAATTGAATTTATAAAATTGATTCTTTAAAAATTGGATTTAGTAAAGTTTAAATAAATAGTGATGTATTTAATCAACATTGTATATGCAATTAAAGACAGTGATTAAAATCTAGATAATTGTGAACCTAATGATTCTCAAAATGTTTTCCAAAGTCATTTAAATGTTGGATTAATTAGGCAACATTTCTTTGTTTTATTTCATCAAACCGTATTTGTTTTATCTAACAGTATTTTGTTGCCCTCTGCCGAATCTTCTTGTTCCCCAAACACTTGCACAGTTATATAATTGAAAGCTCTCCTACCTAGGTTTGCCTGGAATTTTCACTTCTCCTCAGTACCATACCCTGTGCTGCAACCACACTATATTCTGCAAGTATAACATTTTTAAAGTATTTCTACATTTTCCTTTGGTCTGACTTATACATGGAAATTTCCCTGTGTCTGGAATGGAATTCACACTGTCTCCCTGAAGGGACGCACCCTGCAAAATCCAAGCCATGGAGATATTGAGTTTTGCTGGAGTTTAACCAGCTAAAACCGGACAGCTTGCCATTGAGTACACAGTGGCAAGTTGCATTTGTTCAGCCTAGCAAGGTCCATGCTACCTGTTAGGTCTTAGCTTGGAGGGTTAACAGAAGCTGAGTGGGAAGAATCCCTACCCTCCAATCCTGCCGTTGAACCAGGCTGGCTAGTCTGCCTCAGCAAGTACAGTGATGGTTCCTGGAGTACTGCGGCCTGGCTCAAGAATCGGACTACCAAGTCCGCCATAGGCAGTTGACTTAATTCCAACATTACATTGACAAGCACATCACCTTGGAGTTCGCTTTGTTTCAAGGAGAGCCTGCTTACCTCCCTGCAAAGAAGAGTCTGCATCTACAACTGATGATGACATGCATGTCCATGATTTTTATTTAGACGTTGATGCTTTTCCAATGCTTAAAATGGTTAAATATTTCAATCAAGTATCCATTTGTCTGATTTTCTTACTTGCCCCAAAACCTTCTTTTGGACACTTGGTGACATACTTTTAAAGAGACATCGAATTCATCGAGTACGATGAGTTGCCTGCTTGTAAGTGATTGATTTTGTGCCTTTTTGTTGCAAATTTCTCGAATGAATTTCCTTCCCATTCGGAGTCCTGTAGCTCAGTGGTTAGAGCACTCACTTTGCAAGTGAGATACCTGAGTTCAATTCCAGGCAGGGCGAAACCTTGGGGGAGTTTCCTTACTCCACACGCCTAATAATAATCCCTCCAAAACCAAAAACAATAATAAATTGGTCATTTTCAATCTACGACTGTTTGTGGGACATTGCTGTGCGCAATTGGTTGCTGCGTTCGCCCACAAATATACAGTCAGTTCACTTTACATCGTGTTCTGTGAAGCGCTTTGGGACGTCCTCCCGACGTGAAAAGCGCTATATCAAATCCAAGAATTATTATTATTAGAGTGAAAATTATGCACAACAAATCTAAATTTGTCAAATTGTGCTGCTGGGTTTGCCAACAAATACATAGTAACTCCATTTACAGTAATTCCTGTGAAGCGCTTTGGGACAACCCTTCTTGTGTTGTAAGGCGCTGTATCAAATGCAAGTTTATTATATTTTTGGAATCACTACAGTCGCTTCCCACCTCGTTCCATCTAATGCTTATTTTCTTATGACATGCATTTCAAATGTTAGCCATCTTCATTACTGGAATTTTTTTTCTTCAAAGTTGATAAGCTTGGGATGGCAATGCAGTCTTGGTACCTTAGAAACTATTTTTTTAATCTCCGACCAGGCCTTTGGTCAACATCTTTAAAGCTCTCTGTTTACAAGAACTTTTTACATGAATGATAGCACACGCTCAATAAACTAAAAGTATTACTGTAGAAGACCA